CAGTGAAACATACAACTTTCCTCTAGTTCTGTAATGGTGCCCCACCCCCCACTATCATGATCACAATTATACCTTACAAATCTAGACCAGAGGATGTACACTGGTGCAGATAAGAACTGAAAACACAGGGAATCCAGGGAATCCAGGATAGATAAACCCCTCAGGACCAATACTGAGAGTAGCAATATCCGGAGGGGAAGGGGAAGGTGGGATAGAAAGGGGTAACTGATCACAATGATCTACATATAACGCCCTCAGTGGGGGACAGACAACAGAAAAGTGGGTGAAGGGAGACATCGGACAGTGTAAGACATTACAAAATAATAATAATTTATAAGTTATGAAAGGTTCGAGAGGGAAGGGTGGTGGGGCGAGGGGGGAAAAATGAGCTGATACCAAGGCCTCAAGTAGAAAGCATATGTTTTGAGAATGATGATGGCAACAAATGTACAAATGTGCTTGACACAATAGATGGATGTATGGATTGTTATAAGAGTTGTACGAGCCCCCAATAAAATGATTTTTAAAAAAAGAAAGGTTCTTTATGGTTTTTGGTTTCATTTAACACATGCTTTCAAGTTTATCCATGTATTCTTTATAGCATTCCTTTTTATGGTGGAATAATATCGTATTTATGGAAATTGTTACTTTGTGTAAACATTCATCAGTTAATGAACATTTGATGTTTTCACCTTTTGGCTATTTGGGAAAATGCTATAATGAACATTAATGTATGAGTTTTTGTGAACACATGAATTGATTCTCTGAGCATATACCTAGTAGTAGTACAATTATAGATCATACGGCAATTTTGGTTATTACTATCCTACAAGGTTTGCAGTTTGAACTTACCAGCAGCTCCACAGGAGAAAGATGAGTCTTTCTACTCTTACAAAGATTTGTAGCCTCAGAAACCCAAAGGGACAGTTCTGCTCCATTCTACAGGCTCTCTGTGGGTCAGATTTGACTCAACGGCAGTGAATTTGATGGGGTTTTGTTTTGTTTTGGCTTCTTTTGTTTTAATGGCAATTTTATGTTTAACCTTTGAGGAACTACCAGGCTGTTTTCTTCCTTCCTTCCTTCCTTTTCCCCCTGACTGTTTTCTTAAGTGGCTGCATCATTTTACATTTTCATCATCAAGTGGGTTCTGATTTTTCCACCTTACCAACACTGCCTTTTTTTATTATAGCCTCTGACCTAGTTAGTTATCTAGCACTGCTATAACAGAAATGCCACTAGTAAATAACTTAAGTATTTTAGAAGACCAAAATTGAAGTAGCATTTCTAGGGGAAAGCTTTCTCTCTCTGTTGTCTTTGAAGGAAGGAATTCAGAATTCCTTGTTATTTGGCATCCCTTTCCCTATCTCTTCTCAGCTCACTCATTTAGTCTCTATATCACAAAAGAAACTGACTCAATACACACTCTGCACTAGTTTTACCTTGTATAACAAAGACAGCGTGTTTCCCCAGGGGATTATAACGATAGTTATAAGGTTAGGATTTACAACCCATATTTTTGGAGGACACAATTCAGATCATTACACCATCCCAGTGTAATAATAATGACTTGCATTTCCCTGGTGTCTAATAATGTTGAGCATCATTTCATATGTTCATTTTTTGTATCTTCTTTGTTCATATCCTTTGCCCATTAAAAAAATTGATTCATTTTATTTGTTAAGCTTTCTTAATGATTGTGGTTTTCTCTCCCCCTCCATTTCAGGTAGAAGAAGTGAAGCGGCGGCAGTACTCACTTGTGTTCAGCTCAGCTGGATCCCAAGCTCAGACCTATCATGTCAGCTTTGAGACTTTGGCTGAGTGTCAGAGGTGGCAACGGCAAGCTTCCAAGGTGATAAGCTGTGAAACATTTTGATGACTCTTCCTAAGATAAGAATGTAGATGACCCAATATAAATATATTTTGAAATTGCCCTTATTCTCAAGAGCAAATTCTGATTTTTTTTTTTAATCATAGCCTTATGAACCACTTCAAATTTGAACTAATGGGACATTGACTTGCAATTGTGTTCCAAACTATTATTTAGGTATGCTGAGGATAATTCACCTTTCATCATACTTTCTGCTTTTTGCCTTTAAAGATTACTCTAAAAGTGCATTACAGTTTCCAAATTCTCTTATTCTCATAGCCACCCTTATAAAATTAACATCACTTCCAGAAAGTGGCTGAGCCAAGGTGGCTGCAAAAAGACAGTGTCTTTTCATACCAGACAGTCTCCATACAAAAAGTTTGTGGGAAAATTCTATTATCTTTTAATCTCATTTTCCCACAGACTGTTTTTTGAAACCCCCTCATGTTGCTGTGAATAATGTTATTATTACTAATTGTATGAACTGTTAAATTTACACACTATTTTTTTAACCTTTTACTTTTTTTTAAGCAGCTGTGTTGTTTTGTGTTTTTAGTCATTTAATTTGGAGCTATTATAGATATCATAACATTTTGTAGTTCAGTCACATCAAGTAGTATGGCACAATTGCTAACACAGTCAGTTTCAAGACATTTTCTTTGTGAACTCCTTGATATCAGCTCCCCTTTATGCCCTCTCCCCCATACCCTCCCCCTCAGGAACCCTTATTTTTATTTATTTTTTTTGCTATGTCTTACACCTTCCAAATATCCATTTATGTACAATTCTGTTTGTCGTTCCCCTCGAGTGGTATTATACACTCATCAGTGCTATCAGCTGCTCCCGCTTCTCCCTCCACTCCTCGCTTCCCTTCCCTCATGGAACCCTTACTCCTATTACTATTTCTGAAGGGTTATCCAAATTGTCTTTCATTCATCAAATGGTGTTAATTTTACATTTGAACATACACAAGTCTGACATGATTAATGAGGTAAACAAATAAAAAGCATGATAGTAAGGGGAGGAGATATTAAAGAGCTAGAGGGTAGTTAGGTGCTTCATTAGTGCCCCTAGATTTATCATCCCTTCCCTGTGGCCCTTCTAAGAGGGACTTTCATTAACTTTCAGGTGGGTTTTGGGTCTCCACTATATCCCCACCCCTTTACATTGATTTGGCTGGTTGGTTTTGAACTTCTGACACCTTTTCCCAGTGACACCTCATGATCACACCGGCTGGTGTGCTTTCATGTGGGTTTTGTTGCTTCCCTGCTAGAAGGCCTCTTGCTTGACTACAAGCCTTTAGGACCCCAGACACTTTATCTTTTAATAACGGGGGACCATCAGCTTTCTTCACTGTTTGCTTATGCACCCATTTTGTCTTAAGCGATTGTGTCAGGAAGGTGAGTATCATACAGTGCCACGTTATTGGAACAAGCCATCCTTGTATTGAGGTAAGATTTAAGTAGAGGCCATCTGCTTCTCTGTTGCATTTGCATTTATAAACAAATATACAAATATATAAACAAATATACCTATATGTACGTAATTATATATTTACATATATGTATACATATATGTGTGTGTGTTTTTTCTTCTTTCCTCCTGCCCCACTATCATGTTTACCCATCGTTCACCTCTCAGTAATTCCTCAGATAAAATTCTGCTGATCAGACACAACCAGAAAAACTACATCATCCTTGCCATCCATTTTAGCCCCATTATTCCCCTGTATCCATATTTATTGGCTTATCACTCTCCTCCCCTGGCCTCCTCCTGTCCTGTGACCCCCAGGAACCATCGGTCCTATCACTGTGTCCGTAAGATTGCCTGTCCTGCTTATCTTGTATGGAAAACACAGAAAACAAAAAACAAAGAAGAAGAAAAATAAAAGAACATACAAGTAGTCACAAGTCTATCAGGGATCCTGACACAGAGCAGATGAGTATCTCTGTTAAACAGAAGGACATGTTAAAATCCATCAGTCCAGTTCCCTTTTCTTTCAGGGTTCCATATCCCGGGTCCTGCTGACCTAATATGTGTTGTTGTTTTTAAAGAACAATATTTTATTATAGTTTTTGTGGAATGTTACACAGCAAATTAGGTTTCTACTTGACAATTTCTATACAAACTATTCATAGCATATGGTGTCAGGGCAAAGTAAAAATAAGCTGATTTTTATAAATGAATAAACTGATTTCATTTCCCCCTACCTTTTATTAATTCATGTTTCTGTGTATAAATGCCATTCCTCCTTACACTTAGTAAAAGACATTCCGTGCTAGCCCAGATGATTGTCCTTTTTGATTTGACTCAGGTGGTGTCCCAACGAATCAGTACAGTTGACCTTTCATGCTATAGCCTTGAGGAGGTTCCTGAGCATCTCTTCTACAGTCAAGATATCACCTACCTCAACTTGCGACACAACTTTATGCAACTAGAAAGACCAGGGGGCCTTGACTCTCTCCACAAGTATGTAGAGAATTCTTTTCATTTATGAAATAGATTTCCAAACTAACATTAAAACTGAATTATAATCAATGTCATAATTACTCTGCTTTCCATTATATCTATCTATCCTGTGTGTGTGTATGTGTATGTGGTTTTTCATGGAGATATAGATAATGTGCACACATCGTAAGTGCACAGCTCAGTGTACACTCACTGTTTTTGGCAAAGATTAAGGAGGGAGGAGAGAGGAGGTAGAGGGAACACCTTCTACTGATGCCCAGCTCGCTATTTTTGACAAGATCTGGAAGGGTTTGGGGGGGAGGTAACGCTCTTATTCATGAGATTACCTAACCTCTTTTAAAGACTTCCAAATAATTACACCTTTCCTAAATTCTGGTTTGTATGTATTAAGAACAGTGATTGCATTGGTCACCCTTGCAGCATCTCCTCATTATTTTCTACTTAATCCATATTACATGCCTTTCAAAAAGTTGCATTAAGTACTCCAAGTAAAGTTCTATTTCTTAAGCCTGTGTTCTGTTGAACATTTTATTAGGACTTGGGTGAAAAATTACTGAGCAAATTGGTTTCCCATACTTTTTTTTAAAAATCATTTTATTGGGGCTCATGCAACTCTCATCACAATCCACACCCACATCAATTGTGTTAAGCACACTTATACATTCGTTGCCCCATACAACCATTTAAACACATTTTGTTTCATATTAGTTACAGTCCTTTCAATGTAATAGCATTCTTTCCACTTCCTCTCAGGTACTCTTACCATTTTCTTACCCCTTGGTGATATTTGAACTTTGTCCTTGGACAAAGACTGCCCTTTTGGTCTCATAGTTGATTGTTCCGAGGAGTACACATCACTTACAGGTGTTATTGTTAATTTTATAGGCCTATTGTTTGGCTGAAAGTTGATCTCTGGGGGTGGATTCAGTTTCTGGAAGTAGTTTGAAGGGTATCTGAGGGCCATAGTCTCAGAGATTGCACCAGTAAGTCTTGTCTTCTTTATGATTTTGAGTTTTGTTCTGTTTTTCTCCCACTCTGTCTAGAATTTTCCATTGCAATCCTGATCAGAGCAACTAGTAGTAGTAACCAGGCACCATCTAGTTCTTATGGACCTAGGCTAGTGAGGTTGTGGTTTTGTGATTCACTAGTCCTTTGGACTAATTGTCTCCTTGAGGCTTTGATTTTTCTCCTCTGCTTTGCGTTGAATAGGAAGAGACCAATAGTTTTATCTTAGATGACCACTGGCAAGCTTTTAAGACTGCATTCACTACTTAATAAATTAGGATGTGGATCATGGTCTTCATGGATTTTCTTATGCCCTCCAGAACTCCGGTCCTAAGCTTCAAAATTCCTCAAGGTGTTTGGTTATGGCTAAGAAGTTTGTGTACCTTTGCCCTTGTATGCTCTACATTATATTGGGATATCTTTGCAGCACAAATAAATAAAATATCTTAAGCCGTATATGCTCATGATGTACTATTATATGTAATCCCATACCCATTTAGCTTACATATCAATGAATGTGTGCATTCATAAATTTTGTTTGTCATTACTGTTATTGAAGGATTGTGTATGTAATAGTATTCACCATTGTGATCTTCCTAGTGTTTTCTTCTGCCTTGGTCATGATGTGTTGACTTCCCTCTTACTGTGTATTGATTTTCCCTACACACAAATTATATTTTATATATATATATATACATACATACATACATACATACATATATCCACTAGCTAGTGATTTTCCTTTAGGTGTCTCCCTCTTTTTGCTATTGTGAATAATGCTGCAGTAAACAGATGTGTGTGTGTCCTGAAATTTCGTTTCCATTTGGGAGAGGAAGTACAGTTTTTCATTTTTCTTACCATTAAACAAGATTTGTGTAAATGTTTTATTAGAGATGTAGCATCAAACTGCTATTAGCCTCCTGTATAATCTTTTTAAAAAAAATCATTTTATTGGGAGCTCTTACAGATACCATAGCATTCCGTAGTTCAGTCACATCAAGCAATCTTGTACAATTGCTACCACAGTCAGTTTTAAAACAGTTTCTTTTTTCTTGAACTTCTGTATATCAGGTCCCCTTTATCCCCACCCTCTTCCATCTGTTCCATAAGGAACCCTCATTAATATTTTTCTTTTTTTGCTTCATGTACATCTAATATTTGGATAATCTTTTTACATAAATCATTGACAATAATTCCTGCTGTACAGTGAGGGTGCATTTTGAGAGATTCTGTCTGTTGAAAGTTAGGAATCAAAAGGATCAGATTTAGTGAACGAGGGAAAATAGGTCTGGATGCAAAGCATTCCATTCCTAGTGGCAGGACTTTTATCTGTTTTGTTCTTGCTTCTGCCAAATTTACAGCCTGTCAGCTATGAAACCTCTCTTCTGAAGGAACCATTTTCATGCCATATAGATCTCTTTTCTCACCCATTCTCCTACCCCATAAAAATTGATTCAAAGGAATACATATGTGGTGTAAATAATTTGGTTTGTGGTTGGGAAAGGAGAAGTAGGTAATTATACAGTAGCTTGAATTATATCATGATTTAAAAGGTAATATACATTACAATGACATATATCTCCTTAAAAGATGTCACACATATCATATTATTTGCAATTCAAGGATAGTACTAGTAAGACTTTTTCTCCCTAGATTTTCTTTTATTCTTGATAACTCTTGTGGTGTGAGTCATTGTAGTATCCTCTGTGCTAAACACAATATTTGGCTGGTAGTGAGTGCTCAGGAAATTCTTGTGAAACAATAGTCATATAAAATAGATCTTTTTGTCATGCAAAATAGACCAGTTGTCATGCAGTACTGTAATTTGTGCCTTTGCTATTTAGATTTTCTCAGCTGAAGGGCCTGAACTTGGCCCATAATAAGCTTGGGTTGTTTCCTACATTGCTGTGTGAGATCTCTACGCTGACTGAACTCAACCTTTCCTGTAATGGAATTCACAACCTGCCAAGTCAGATTGGCAACCTGCTCAAGTAAGTATCTGAATTTTACTAGGTCCATCTCTTCCCCAACAATGAAAAAGTTCTTGTAGATTTTAAGATTCTATCAGCAGCCATTTTGACAACTGAAAATTGAATTGCCCTCAACAGTGACTGAGCCCTCAGTTTCACCACCAGAGACTCTAATTAGTTTAGTGTTGAAGAGAACACTTGTGTACATTATATATAAAAACAAACTCACTGCCATCAAGTCAATTCTGACTCATACTGACCCTGTAGGACAAGGTAGAACTGCCCTGGTGGATTTCTGAGATTGTAACTCTCTCTTTTTTTTAACAGTTCTATTGGCACATAATCCATATATTATATAATTCAGTCATTTAACATATAAAGAATTGTACAATCATTGCCACAGTCAATTTTAGAACATTTCCTCCCATGATTAAATCACCTTTAAAATGAGTTGTGAAATCACATTCAGTTCTAGTGCTCCCTCCCCCTCCCGCCTTCATTGTTTACTCCCCAAATCCCCTTAATCTCTTCCCATCTCACTCCCTGTCCCTACATCCCCTGTAAACCCTTGCATCAATTGTTATCTCTGTACATCCACTCCTTTACAAACTGGTAAACCCAACAGAAACAGTAAAGAACACACACGAAATAACGTAGTATGGATAAAACAATAGTAATATAGAGATAAAAGATGAACAATGAGTGAAAAAGGCTGTAACTCTTTATGGGAGTAGAGCCTTGTCTTTCTCCCTTGGAGCAGCAGCTGGGGATTTCTAACTGTTTACCTTGTGGTTAGCAGCTCAACTTGCTCCTCCAACAGGTGTATGTGTAGGTAAATCTCTCTGGATAAGAGATTTGGGACAGTTTATTATTTTTGGATTTCCATTCCAAGTAAATTCTTCATAAAATGTCATGTACTTTCTTTCTACAGTCTTCAAACCCTCTGTCTTGATGGCAACTTTCTGACTGCTTTACCAGAAGAGTTGGGAAATCTACAGCAGCTTTCCTCCCTGGGAATTTCCTTCAACCACTTTTGTCAAATTCCTGAAGTTTATGAAAAACTCACTACATTAGATAAAGTGGTTATGGCAGGAAATCAACTAGAAGTTCTGAACCTAGGGGTGCTAAACCGAATGAGCCATATCAAGCATGTGGATTTAAGGTAATGTCGGGCTTTATCATATCTTCCTTTAGATTGACCTCTTAGAATTAAATTAAATTTTCCCTCCATAAAATACTAGAATTTTAGAATATTATAGAAATACATATTTCCAAAACTCCCATCCAAGTTCTACTAATCAGGCCAGACCCTGCTTAGCTTCCAAGATCAGATGTGATCAAGTGCGTTCAGGGTGGTATGGCTATAGACTTTATTTCCAAAGCTATAGTTATAGTAGAACTTCACTTATCACTCATTAACAGAGGGGTTAAAGAATGAGACAGGTATTCCACATGATAAATACTCAGCAACATTTTATGAGAATTCTCTTGTCCTCACATTGTTATCATTATTGGTTTTTTGCAATCGTGTTTGCTACAAATATGTTTGGTTCAAATATGTAGCATAACATTTGCCATTTCAACATTTTCTGTATATACAACTGAGTGACATTCATTACATACACCATGTTGTGGAACAATCACCAGTATCCCTTTTGTAGTCTTTTTCATTTTGTTAGTCTTGTTGTTAGGTACCGTCAAGCCAGTTCTGACTCATGGTGCTCCAGTGTGAAACAGAACGAAACACTGGTCTGCACTAGCCTCATAGTCATTGTACTGTTGCAACCACTGTGTCAATCCATCTCTTCCATAATCTCTTTTTTTCAATGACCTCCTACTTTACCAAGCATGACCTTCTCTTCTAGAGACTGATTCAGGGAGAGACAAATGGGTAGAAAATAGCATTTCACTCTTTTGATCAATATTTACTTACTAAGGAGCATCTATTTGTATATTTATTGGTAGTTTTTATTGTCCATAAATTTACCCTTTTTCCCTGAGTCATTAGAGTCTTAATATTTATGGTATTATAATTAGAATTTTTAAAATTTAACTAATAAGATAAGAATAGCCAAGAATTTTTCTTGCTGTCATATTTTCCTAAATTAAAAAAAATTACTGAAAGTTCTATTATTTATAGTAAGTCACTGATAATCCTAGTAAGAATATAGTAATAGGTTTACTGGAATACAGGAACATTTTAATAGGCTTGAATACATTATTAAATCATGTATTTGTATAGAAAAGAGCCAAAAATTAATTTTCCATAACTTGGGTAGAAAGGGGGAATTGATCACAGGGATCTACATGTAACCTTCTCTCTGGGGGATGGGCAGCGGAGAAGTGGGTGAAGGGAGACGCCGAGCAGTGTAAGATAAGATAAAATAATAATTTATAAATTATTAAGGGTCCATGAGGGAGGGGGGAGCAGGGAGGGAGGTGAAGGGGAAAAAGGAAAATGAGCTGATTCCAGGAACCCAAGTGGAAAGTGAATTTTGAGAATGATGAGGGCAACAAATGTATAAGTGTGCTGTGCACAATTGATGTATGTATGGGTTGTGATAAGAGTTGTATGAGCCCCAATAAAATGATTTAAAAAATTTTCCCCCCATAATTTACTCTTGTACCATTTCATATGCTTCTTTTAAAAGTTTTATTAGTATTTCATCTACATGTCATAAAATTCAATAATTCAGTCATGTAAAGAAGAGTTGTACAATCATCACCATATTCAATTCTAGAACATTTTCTTCTTCCTTGTAGTCATTGTTATTCATGTAATTTTCCCCCTAATTGTGGCAAAAATATATACACCGGAACATTCTCCAATTTCACAACTTCTACTTGTATAATTCAGTGCCACTGATTATACTCTTTGCGTTGTACACCCATTATTGATACCCTTTTCCAAATTTTTCTTTCACTGTTGACATAAACTCAATGCCTTTTGTGCAACACCTCTTTATCTTCTTCACCTGTGCTAAATAACCATTGGTCCAGTTTAGTTTCTTTCTTTTTTTCCCCCCTCTCTCTTTTTTTTAATATAGTATTCACATAACATACATTTCCATGGTTGAATCGCTTTTAAAATGAGTTATATATATGTAATCATAATTAGTTCTGGTGCTCCCTCCCTCATTCATTGCTTGTTCCCCAAGTCCCCTCACCTCCTTATCTCCTACCCACATCCCTGATAAACTATTGCATCAATTTTTATCTCTGTGCATCTACTCCTTCTGTGTTTCAAAAACTTGGAAACCCAACACAAACAATAAAGAACAAAAACAAAATAAAATGGCAAGGGTACAATAATAATAATATAAAGATAAAAATATAAATAATGAGTAAGAAAGTAAAGATCACCATCAAATTTTTAAAAAGCCAGGGAAGAAATTTTTGTCATGGAACAAACAAGAACAAATTCCATTTGGAAGAGGGAGGTCAACTGACCATGTATCAAGTTTGACACCCAGCATAGTCAAGTTTACAGTGATCTCCATCCGATTGTAAAGCTGTTGTAGAGTCCCGTAACCTTGGCTAGAGGGAATTCGCTAGAGGCGTCATCTGACTAGACACTCTGCAGGTGGGTTTTGAGCCATTCCATGTGCTTTTAACATTGACTGTTTTCAATGTAATAGGAATCTTTCACACGAGAGATGAGCAGTATAGAGAAAGGAGGAAATGTGGCCTCTCCTTGTTCTCTTAACATGGCCCTCCCATAATGGACTATTTGGTACCCACTAATCCAAAAGGTTTTATCCATCTTCTTGTTCATTTGTCTTATTCCCAGTAAATAATACCTAATCCTGACAGTAGTTTTTTTCCTTCTCTTTATGTAACATATGTGCATTTGCTAATCTGCATTGTTTAAGTTAGTTCATAAGCTTAGTGCTCAATGTTAAAGCTGCTCTTGCTACTTACACAAAGAGACTTCAAAATATTCATGGAAAAATGGAATTAAAAGATAATGACATTTTCCCAAGTACTTTCTGGAGCCCTTTTATATAGGATCTTGCAAAATTAGACAAGTAGTCAAAACCTTAAGTTGTCTAGGAAAGAGAAGGGATGTTATTCCTCCTCTTTTTTTTTTTTTTTGTTAAGCACATTTAATAGAATTTATTTTCTTGTTTATAATATTAGGATGAACCATTTGAAGACCATAGTTATTGAAAATCTGGAGGGAAATAAATACATTACCTATGTGGATTTGCGAGACAATCAACTGACTGACTTAGATCTTAGCTCTTTATGTAGCCTGGAGCAGCTACATTGTGAGCGGAACCACCTGAGGGAGCTAACACTCAGTGGCTTCTCCCTTCGAACTCTGTACGCCAACTCAAACAGTAAGTCTTCATCCTTCTGCAGCTATACTCAGGGATTTCTATCTGTGATGCGCCTCGGACTGTTGCAAAATAGAGTTTGAGGCCTTCTGAGATCCAGCTTTATCTCAGGTTTGCTATCAACATTTTAAGTGGTTGGGACGTGTATAAAGATATATGGCAGGATAACCAGTGAGCATATGAGGCATTTTGCAAAATAAAGCACGAGGGTCGTGGGGTGGAGGACAAAATGTTCAAAAAGCAATGACATTGTTGGTCTAAAGTACAGCTTAGCAAACTACAGTCCAAGGGCGAAATCCAGATCACTACCTGTTTTTGTATATCATGGTTTTTACATTTCCTTAATGTTTGTAGAAAATATCCAAATAAGAGTATAAAAATTATACGAAATTAGAATTTTCATGTACATAAGCAGTGACTGAAACACAATTTTATTATCTGTGTGTGGTCTATGACTAGTCGCATATCACCATGACAGAATTAAATGGTTGTAAAAGAGTTGATATGACCTATAAAACTTAAATATTACTATTTTACTTTTCTCAGATAAACTTTGTCAACCTCCAAAGCTAATATTGCCTCATTTCGAGAGTTAAAAATCCCTCATCTTAGTGGTTTGTGCTCTAAGAATGTTTTTTAATATGAAAGCCCTCATACATCGCTTTAATCAGAATTCTTCTTTAAAAAGAGGTTATAATTACTTTCTCTCTGTTTAAAGAATTAAAAGAAAACATATTCAATTTTACTAAGTATCATAAAAATACAAATTAAACAATATAATGTTTTACTCAACAGATAAAACACTCTGTTGAGTGCTGCAAAGGATGTGAAGCAGTAGGCGCTCCCATGTGCTGCAGTTTGTGGGATCAAGTGGTAAAACTAAAACCATCTTAGAGAGCAATACCACAGTGTTCAGGAAGGCAAGCGTGCAGATAACCCACATTCTACCAGTTCTTCCATTGTTGTATGCAGGTCATTGAATGAGCAGAGACCGAGTATAGTTTAAGAAGTTTACTAGGTCCAAACCCAGACTCAGCGCTGAGGGACCACACCAGACTGGTGAGTGCCAGGTGTGGACCCTGAGATGAGACTGGGGACAGCCTTTTTTATAGGGATATAGTTTATTGGGTCACACCGAAAGAATACTGTACTTTGCATTATTTTTTAGCTTGCACCAGCGTGGTTTTTCTAAAAAGCTGCAGGATACAGAAGGTGGGGAACATTTTACAGTTAGGATGACACAAACTTGGGATCATCCTGTTTTCTTCTGTTCTTATTGCAAACCTAGAATAATTCCAACTTCCTTATCACCCAGAACAGTTTCAACTTCCTTATCACATTCCTCATCATTCTTGATCACATTCCTTTGGATTTTTTTTCTGTGTGTGTACCATTTATGTGTATACAGAAAGATATGTACAAGAGTTTGTATCGCAACATTGTTCTAGTGAAAATTGACAAAATTATTACTATTAATAAGAAAATGGGCAAATAGTGATATGTTTATGCCATAGAATATTGCACAGCTTCATGGATTAATTTGTGGTGAACTCTCAGAAACGTTTTGGAGCAGAAAAAGAAAGCACAGAGTAATATGTACTCTGTGATTGTTATAGCACATTTTAGAAAAACAAAAAATATTGCTTTCTTAGCTATAAGTGTACAAGAACAATGCAGAAGGATTCATGGGTATAATAAAAATCAAATTCAGGATGGTGTTTACCTCGGCATTTATAGCAAATCAAACAAAAGATTTGTTAAAACCAAGATGTTGGGTGAAAAACTGTTCCTAATTTTGTTTTTACATTTCTATGTTTGTGAAATACATATCTAGGATAAAAAAAAGTTAGGAATTCTATTTTTGTCGTGATTAATCAAGCTATAGAAATTTTAGCTTAGCTTACATCAATTGTTAGGTCAGAATACGTAGTGTTAATTTGTAATGTTGAACTGCTCTTTAGGGTTTCCAAGACTATCAGTCTTTATGGGAATAGAGAGTTTTATCTTTCTCCCAAGTAGCAGTTGGTGGGTTTGAACTGCCAGCCTTGTGGTTAGCAGCACAATGCTACTGTGCCACCAGGGTTTCATAGTCATTATGATGTGATTACATATTGAAGTTCCAATGTCATTCCAATGCACACGTTACCAGAAATGATGACTGAAAATACCGTATCAGCTGTTGGGAGTGTAAATTGGTATAAATATTTTGAAAAACTTCGTGTTATCTACTGAAGCTGGGCATATGCCCATCCTGTTCTGAGAAGTTTCTCTCCCAGCTTTATACTAAAAAAAAAAAAAGCTTTTATTAACCTATAAATAGACATGAAACAAAATGCTTATGGTTGCCCTAATCATAATAGCCTATCAACTCTAAGATAAGTAAATTGCTATATTTGTGTAAAATAATTTCACACAAAATGAACGAATTACACCACACTGAACAGTATGAAGAAACCTCACAAATACAAGGTGAAGTGAATTATTCCACAAAAATAATGAGTACTGTGTAGACTCATTTATGGAAGAAAGACAGGGCTCGCTATTCCCATAAAGAGTTAAGGTTTTCCTCAGGACCAGTAATGAAAGAAGAGATACCAGGAGGGGAAGGGGAAGGTGGGGGAGAATGGGGGACCCGATCACAGTGATCTACATATAACCCCTTGGCTGAGGGACAGACAACAGAAAAGTGGGTGAAGGGAGACATCGGACAGTATAAGACATGAAAAAATAATAATTTCTAAATTATCAAGGGTTCGTGAAGGAGGGAGGGGAAAAATGAGCTGATACCAAGGGCTCAGGTAAAAAGCAAATGTTTTGAGAATGATGATGGCAACAAATGTACAAATTTGCTTGACACAGTTGATATATGTATGGATTATGATAAGAGTTCTATGAGCCCCCAGTAAAATAATTTTTTTTAAATTCTTGAATCTATACACTTAAAATTTGAGCACTTTTCCTGATTTATTCTATACTTCAATTAAAAGTTTAAATACTGCCAAGTAAGAATGAAACAATTCTTTTTTGTTGCTCTTAGTTAAAAGTCTAAATAGTAATGTTGACATTAAACAATCCCCTGATTTTGTGTAAATCCAGTGCAGTGTATAGATCTTTTGGCTACTCGTTATGCTGTGACAGATTGGGATGAGGTAGTTAAAAGTGAAGAATTACCCTTTCGTTTTTATCTTTAGTGCTTCTCAGTAAGTAACAGCTATATTACCTCTGGTGAGTCCAATGAGCGACTTTTCTCTTGTTTACTCTCAGTTACTTTCTTTTTTAGAGACAATGTCACTAAACCGTATTTGCTTTTTGATTAGGGCTGACAGCGGTGAATGTTTATCCAGTGCCCAGTCTGCTAACTTCCCTTGAGCTCTCCCGGTGAGTGTGTGCCATGAGGGTGGTGCTTGTTTGCGTCTTCATATTTAAAAGTTAATCTGAGAACACTTTGGCAGTTTGAGGTACAAGAAACCTAAATACGTATATAGCGAAATATTATGGTAACTTGGAGGGCGATGAACGTCTCATAGCTTTTTACTATTGCTGTTAAAAGAAAGGCCTTCCTGATAACAGAAAGGTGCCTACAAATTACTCATTCTTAAATGTGCGGCTTTAGGATGCTATCCTAATAGAGATTTATCACTTTTATAGCAGTGATTTTCTTTTTTGTTTTTTTTTTCTGTTAATTTTTAAAAATCATTTTATTAGGTGTGATTTTCTTTTTGTCCATTAGAATCAGATAATTTAAAAATAGTGAATGGCTTGCTTTTTATTGCATTCTCCTTTTTTATATTCCCTTGACCTATGTGAGTCTAGTTTTTAAGAGAGATTATGTTCAGGACTTTATTATATACTGATGATAGTCAAGAATAATGTAAGTAAGGTTTACTTTCATCCATTAATTCATTTTAACACTACTTCAGACATTCAAAACTTAGTAGTTGAGTTTTACAGACTGGTAGAGAGTCTAGTAGAGAGATAACAAAAAGCAGTTTGTTAGAGTGTTAGAAACGTAAAATGCACAGTAGACCGGTCATATGTAAGGGACCTTCAAAAAGTTCTCAGAGAAATTCCACTTATTTCCACAAACTTTTTGAAGCCTGTTGGTATTGTTAGATAATACATGAGGTAATAAATGTAAACTATATACCGTAGTACATGGTACATAGTAGGTTCTCAAAAAAATTAGTTGCTTTAGCCAGATTTACTTGTGGTGTTACTTCTTAATTACCATTATTATTCTTAAATTGTTAACTCGATTCCTTTTCCTCAGTTTTTCTGTCATATCCCAGCACACAATCCCAACATCGATCAACACCTTCTTAACTGAACTTGAGCATTGCTAAGGAAAATCTTATTCAGACGGACGTCACTGTATGTTTATGATTTGTGCTTACTGGTCCTTTTTCTTGTCAGCTTCTTCTAGTGTCCTTATGTGTTCCAAATTGCCTTACTTCCCTCCACTTCGATGTGTTGTATCTCCTCAACTCTAAGGGTTGGCTTTCTACTTGATTGCGAAATAGAGGCCCTCTTGGGTGATTTCTCTCAACTTACCAAGTTGCCTTTAGACTTATACAGAGTCCTATCAGTGCTTGACAGCGTTTTTTCTGTTCAAGCTCAGTCCATCCATTTCTGCCTTTGATCCCATCCTCTCCGACTGTTCTGAGACCTTGCTCTGTTAGCCATTTTCCTTTCCTCCTCTATTGGCTGTGTTCAGTTTCTTGCTTTTTCTCAATCTATTTTTACACTCATAGCTCCTCTGTCTTAAAAAAAAAATGTTCACTTTACCTCACAATCCTTCTAGCTAATGTCCAAGCTCTCTTTTCCTCTTTTGTCCAAATTTCTCAAGAACTACTTGCACTTCTTGGCTTAGTAGCCTCAGTTTCTATATATGTTATATTTTATTTAACCAAATATATTAAAAGTATTTCAATTGTAGTCAATATGAAAAGAGTCTTGATATTTTTGTCTTTTGAAAGCAAAAGCATTAAGTGTATTTTACATGTTCATATCTCAATTCAGAATAACTACATTTCATGTGCTCAGTAGCTACATGTGGCTAATGGATTTTGTATTGGCTGTCACAATCTCATTTGCTTCTTGTCCCATCTTGCTTTATTCTTCTCTGTGGAGCTTCTTGCCATTGGCACTATTAATCATGGTCTCCTGTCTTCATTCCTAGTTCCTTGACTTACCAGTACGATCTGATTTGACTCATGCCACTTTCACCATTCATTCTTTCTCTTCATCCCTCGGGTTCTGTCTTTGGTCTGCTACACTTTTCATTTAATGCAGTCTCATTTACTCCAATGGTTTCAGGTACACTCTAGTGTCCGTCCCAGCCAGGTCTCCAATGTAGGCCCACTTTCTTAGCCTCAGACCCATGTATCCAGTGGTAGTCATTTCTACCTTTACATCCTTAACATAAAATATTTGTGTATACAGTTGCACTCACTAACCCCTTTCCTGCCTCAACTTGTTTTAGTATTGTCTGTTTCAACTTTTGAGATGATGATCTCTGTCATCATCCAAGCTACAAACCGCCCCCCCCTCCCTATAGCTAATTCACCTCCAGCTTTTTTTGATTTTTGCTTCTTAAGTATTGCTGGAGTCCATCCTATCCCTTCATCTACTTTACCACCTACTTACTTAGGCCCATATAATTTCTTTTCTGGACTCTTGTAACAATTTCTTGATGATTTTTATTTTATCAGTATAATCCTCTTGTTGGATCTCCAGTTAGCCAGAGATTGACCTATTTAAAGTGTAAAACTGACATGGTCTCTCCACTGTTTTTAAGTCCCTCAGTGAACTTCTAATAATACCTGTAGGATAGTCATACAAAGCTAAACACGATTTATTTCTGGTCCTCATGTGGCTGTATTGCCAAACTACTTTGTATTCCCCACAGACCTCAGGCATTTGTTTCTTGTCTCTGCTCTAGCTCCTTTTGTCATCTGTTGCTTGGAATATTTTCCTCACCACCAAATCATTGTAAGACATTCTTCTAATTCTAGGCCAGCTGTCATCCTCCTTAGTAAGCTTGCCTTGGTCTATTTCAGGCAGCACATTCCTTTCTTTTGGTGATTATGTAGTATCTGTGTGATCACATAGTACATACTTCATTTTGCCTCGGTGGATAGGTAGATGGATAGATAGATACCTTGAGGTCTAGAGAACCTAACATTTAAAGATTAAATCTTTCTTTATTCTTAAGTCCACATTTAGTGCTTTATTAAATATTTGTGTTTACATTCTAAATGTTTCAAACCTTTTAGTCTTTTCCCTTATTAGGTATATCCACATACTTTATTCATTCTGTCCAATCTCCCTGGGGTTTGCTTCTCTTCTCCCACACTTGAAATCCTACTGCTCTTCTAAGGCTTGTTTAAAATGCCACTTCTTCCATCAAGCCTTTCTTCATGCCTCCCTCATCTTATCCCTACAGGTGTGTGTGTTCGCACTTGAGAGAGCCTGCTGCTGCTTACCCTCTAGAGCATGAATCATAATTCAGTACTGCACATGTACCTGTGCTCGTCTCCCCAGCCTTCTAAGTCAGCTACATCCAGGCCAGTGACATGTGTCAGAGATGCCTGGGACATAGTGTCCCTTGTCTGCAAGGAGCACCAGCTGGTTACATTATAGTTCAATGTGATGGCTTTCATTGGTCATCTTAAATACTGCCATTTCATTATTTATTTTCCTCAGAAACCTACTAGAGTGTGTCCCTGACTGGGCCTGTGAAGCAAAGAAGATAGAAATATTAGATGTCAGCTATAATCTTCTCACAGATGTTCCCATGAGGTATGTGTGTGTGTGTGTGTGTGTGTTATCTGTCTATATTATATCTTTCTATAATTAATGATTTCCTGTAGATTTGGGTTGGTTTTCAAGGGTACTTTTACTTGTTCAGTGCATGTGGAGTACCTGCTGAGTGCAAGACAATGTGAATACCATAAGGAATGCAGTAACGGTAAATTCCTTGTCCCTAAGCAAACTGACTAAGAGGGTAAAAGAGGCGACGTGTACAGATCACGGTGGTAATAGAGAGCTAGAGTTGCTGGTTTAGGTTGGTGATTCGCTAAGTTGGTAGTTCAAAATCACCAGCAGCTTCGAGGGAGAAACATGGGGTTTTCTTCTTCTGTAAACAGTTACAGTCTTGGAAACTCACAGGGCCAGTTCTCCACGTCTGATAGGGTCATACTATAAATCAATATTGACTTGGTAGCAGTGAGTTTGGTTTTAGTGCCAAAATGACAATGATAGACTAGAAATTAAACGTAGGGACTTGTAGAAACAATAATCCTAAGAATGGGTTTTGAACTACCAGTTGATCCTAGCCCTGATATAAGAACAATTAGTTTTTAAAACATGACCCTGCTTGCTACTAAACCCCGTGAAGAGATCACTGACGACATGGGTGCCATAGCTTATCACCTGTATTGTCTTGTGTAATCCCCAAGCAACCTTATGATTTCAAAACTGTTACCCCCATCTTATAGAAGAAAAAATAAAGCTTAGTGTGAAAAATGCTCAGGGTCTCACACAACTAGGCAGTGATGGGAATTGGTATTGAAGGTGGTCTTTCTTAATTTAGAGCCATCATTCTTAGTCACTACATTTTATGTTTTAGAAATTCAGAAAAACTATGAATAAGGCTTCTTGGAGGAGCAGGGTTTAAACTGACCTTTACTGGATGAATGGGATTTTTGTAAGTGCAGGTAAAAAGAGAGTGACATCCAAGGGGAGGAGTAAGGCTATATTCTAGAGCTGAGGTGGGAAGCATGTGGTTAGCACCTTAAGGGGTCTTTTGAAATTAAAATAGAGGCTCTGTAGCATACTAGGGAACATAGTTATACTTCAAATCCTGCCTGTACCACTGATTACAGGAAGTATGAGATCTTTGGCAAATTAAAGTCAATGAACCTTTCTGAACTTTAAGATTAAATGCCTAGCACATTTTAAGCACTCAACAGTTTTTATTATAATAAGTTTTGTTATTAAATGTGTTATGTGAATCACATTAATATTGGTAAGTAATTACATTGGACTTTTGGTATTAGATGCTTAGAATAAAAATCTAAGTTCCAAACTTACTTGGCATACCAAAAAAAAGTGAATTAATGAAAACAAACAGCTCAGAACAGATTTAATTAAAAAAGAAAATTTTAGAATACATCAATTTAGATCAGTGTTTCAGAGTGAGCAAAGCCATGTCTTGGTCATGCTAGAATGATCCAGGCAGGCCCAAAAGCAGATACCTACATTTTATCTTAGATTGTGGATCCTAGTAGTATAATGTATATGTAGATTATAATTGCCAGGGGTGGGTGGAGTGCTGAGTAATTATTTTTCAAAGTGACCGACCTTCATGTCTTCCTTATTGATGGTGGGTAAATATGTGACCAAGGCTGCTTTCTTGGCTTAAGTATTTGTCCAGGATTTTACAGTTTTCAGGACTGTTTCTATTACTTTACTGGATTCAGCTAAATAGCCTAGGGCTGACCCAGAAGGATTTATTCCAGTAAATGTTTTGCTTATTGTACTGTTCCCCATAGAATTCTGAGTAGCCTGAGTCTGAGAAAATTGATGGTGGGACATAACCATGTACAAAACCTTCCCATGCTGATGGAACACATCCCCCTGGAGGTGTTGGACATTCAGCATAACTTGCTCACTAGGCTGCCAGACACTCTCTTCTCCAAGGCCTTAAAGTAAGTGCTGCAGAAGACTTAACAAAAAAAAAAGAATAAGCAGAATCATTAACAGGACATTGCGTTGACTTGTCATTGGAGTGCCCTTGGAACTTCATTTACAGTGTTTATATTATAGTCCAATTTTGGGTATATACTTAGTGTAATTTGTATTAATAGTATAATGTTTCTTGAAGTAGTAATATTCAAAGCAAAACTGAAAGGCCCATCAAGTACTTTTAAAAGTTTGTGTGTTTCAAACAAGTTTGGAAGGCTCAGACTTTCATCTCAGAAGATGAATACAGTTATGACCTTTAAAGAAAGTCACATCATTCTGAGACAACTTCCTGGAGCTATGTTTAGCTTTTGCCTAAAAAGAGAACACACCAATGAACTTTTTTTGCTTCTGATTTTACTAAGCTTTTACTAAATTGCATTCTTTATTTGCAGATTTTTATTTACTCTTTTTAAAGTACCTTTTTTCCCCAAGCTATGCATTTAAAGATAATATCTTTCCAAAAGGTGATGCTTATCTTCTCACTGTAAAGTAATTAATAGATGGTATGTCTTCCCATCTTAAGATCCACAATCACGCAAAAAAAAAAAAAAAAAAGATCCACAATCACGCTTACCTAGCTTACTTAGTATGTATGTCACTTTTAAATGAAATCTAGTTTTTAATTATAGTCTTCTGCAATGTGGAAAACCCGATTTTTCCTCAATTTAGCAATGGAGAAAACCAAAATCAGCAGTAGTACTTAACATAAGGTTTCATGAAGCCCCCACAGCATTTGGCCTGCAAATGTTCTCTGCTGTCAGCAGATACGCCTCTTAATGTGCAATAAATACACTTGGTTTGAATTTCGAAATATAAAATCTTTTGAGAATTATAAAAACTGCTTGAAGGAAGTTTTCTAAAAAATGTATGTGGAATCTTGATATAGTAACATTTATTAACTAACAAAAGTTTGTCAGCAATGGATTACACTTTATTTAGGCTAAAAGGCAGTCTGAATAAAGTAATTTTACATCCGTAGAATTTGTAGTAAGGAATTCACACAGTTTCTGTAACCAACTGTATACTTGAGGCGCATACACTACACAGTTACAGACAGACACAATATAAAAGGTAATTATAAATATGAAGTCAAGTTCAAAATAAATGTTTGTTACTATTACCTTTTTTGAGCACATTCTGTATACACCAAGTACTGTACTAGGCAGTTTTTAAAAATCATACATTTTCATCTAGATTTGTAAATCCAGAGTTATAAATCTAAATTTATAAAGATTAAAATGAGTTATGATACTTAGTGTTGACAAAGGTGTGATTTTTATACATTGTTTGTGGAAGTAGAATCAGTATATGTCTGTTGGAGCTCAGTTTGGCAGTCTCTATGAACATTTAAAATTATGCATCCTTTGACCACACAAATCATGCTTCTATGAATGTAGTCAGGATAAGGTCACAAGGTGCTCATTACACAGTCTGTCAAGTCGATTCTGGCGTATAGCAAACCAATAGGATAGAGTGGAACTGCCCCTGGGGGCTTCTGAGACTTGTAAATCTGTATAGGAATAAAAAGCTTCATCTTTCTCCTGCAAGGTCAATAGTAGAAAACAATTAGAAACAGCCTTATATGCCCATTACTATTAGGATATTAAGTAGCTAAAAAAATTATAATATTAAATTCAGAAGAATTTTTCTGAAGGGTGTCTTCACAATTGAGATAAATGTGAGCATCATACTTCACACAGCCTTTCAGTAGACACATAGGTAAAAGATGAAGCTAAGTTAGGGTCCAGCCATGAGAGAAGCCTGGAAATGTAACCAACCACAACAGTATTTGTTTTCTTTCTACTTGGTTAGCATGAGTTGAAATAAAGGAATATTGAGTTGGGTAGAATCAATTAGATCTACCTGGAAAAAATGCCATCTATCCAGTATGAGAGTATGAAATGGCAGCATTTCATACTGAGATGGCATGGCGGTTTCTGTCTAAGGAAGCAGTAAGTATGCATAAGAGAGTGACTATTGGTGTGTGTTCACCAGCCTCAGGTACTTGAATGCTTCTGCAAATAGTTTGGAGTTCCTACCATCCGCGTGTACTGGGGAGGAGAGTCTGAGTATGCTGCAACTGCTTTACCTGACCAGCAATCTCCTGACAGATCAATGTATACCTGTGCTGGTGGGCCACCCGCACCTGCGAATTTTGCATCTTGCAAACAACCAACTACAGACTTTTCCAGCAAGGTAAACACTTGCAAACTTTGATCATTTCAGACATGTAACATTAATTCTGCAGTGTCAGAATAAATTAGCTCAATGTATCCTTGCTGTCTGTTGAGTGATTTAATGATGATGTGATCTCACTAGAGTGGGAAAGTCTCATCTTAATAGTGTGCACCCGGTGATTTCCCTGACCTAACTCGTTGGGTCTCGGAACCGCCTGGGGGCTCATGCCTGTCCCCCCTCCCTTTCTCTGCTCCCCCTTCCCTCCCGGGAGTTCTTTCCCTGCCTCAATAAAATCTTTCTCAACTTAAAAAAAAAAAAAGTGTGCACCCAATTTTCAAGTGCCAGTGCCTTAGCAATCTAGTGGATATCTATGATAGTCTGACGAAAGAGAGAAGAAGTAACAGGAAGGATGAAAATGTTTCTAATAGGTGGAATGAATGCATTCCTGGAAGGTCACTGTGAAAACCATTTCAATTTCCCTCTAGAGCAGCAGTTCTCAACCTTCCTAATGCCACAACTCTACTAGTTCCTCATGTTGTGGTGACCCCCCAACCATAAAATTATTTTCACTGCTACTTCATCACTGTAATTTTGCTACTGTTATGAATCGTGTGACCCCTGTGAAAAAGTTGTTCAACCTCCAAAGGGGTTGCAGCCCACAGTTCGAGAACCACTGCCCTGGAGCCTTCAGTACTGGAGTTGCTCCTATCCTTCCACCTATTAGAGACATTTTCATCCTTCCTATGTTACTTCTCTCTTTCGTCAGACTATCATAGATAGCCACTTCTTCCTTTACCCTAGCAATTGCTATGTTTCTAATACTGGCTTTGACTCCTTACGTAATCTTGTAACATTTTCAATTGAGCCAGATTCTGAGTAGTAACTTATATTTCCCTTTTAATATGCACAACCATAAAAAAAATTATCTCTATTTTCAAGACACATGGAGATTAAGATGATATAGTTATAAATGGTAGGACCAAGATTCCAACCCTAGTCTTCTGATTCCAAATCTTATGCTTTTTTTTTTAACTTCTTTTTTTTTTTTTATAAACATTTTATTAGGGGCTCATACAACTGTTATCCCAATCCATACACACATCAATTGTGTAAAGCGTATTTGTACATCATTTCTCAAAACATTTTCTCTCCATTTAAACCCCCGATTTTTTTTTTAACTTCTTGATACTGTACTTTGTTCAGATCTTTCTAACTTTGAGATTCTGTACCCAGGCCTCAATCAGTCTCTTACTTAGTAGCCAGAACTATGCACTTACAACATTGCTCAGGAGCTAACATGACCATGGGTTTGTAATTCATCTTGGCTGCTAACTGTAAGGTTGGCAATTCAAATCCACCAGTAGCTCCATAGGGGAAATGAGTACCAATCTGCTTCCCTAAAGCCTAGTAGGCTTGGAAACTATGGGGCAGTTCTTCTCAGATCTGTAAGTCAAAATGGACTCAAAAGCAATCACTTTTACCAGATGACGTATGGTACTTTTGTGATCTGTTAATTCTTGCCTTTGTTTCTAATTTCTTCTATTTTCTTTTAAGCTTCATTATCAAATTAGTTTTGACCGCTTCAGTAAGTATAGTGTCATCAAATTAGCCAGAATTCAGTTAGCTTCAGAGTATTACACCTAACATTTCCCAACAGCTTTATCAACCAATATAATTTTCACCTGCCATCTTCATTTATTTATGTGCATACCTGGGAAACCCTATGGGGAAGTTCTACTCTGTCTTATAGGAATTCATTCATTCACTTAGCTAGTATGAATTATATAATATCTTAAATTTACCTTAGGTACAGCATAGTAATAACAGTGATGAAATTTAATTCTGCAGATATACTCAGACTTTTGTGTCATGAATACAAGTTGTTTATTTTAGCATTTGTTACAAAATCAGAAGATTAGAGACAACCTAAATATTATCAAACAATTTGGAAGTGGTTAAATAAATGATGAAACATCTTTATGGTGAACTGTTTTGTACACCAGTACTTCTCAAACAGGGTTCTTGGAAAGTTAAGCTGTAATACCATAAAGTGTCCATCGAACTCCTGTGTAGTGAGGATATAACAGATGGGTGACTTTCTTCTCTACTCAAATAATAATAGCTAGGTACTATCCTGGGAAGTCTTGAGAAAGTAATTGCTCAAATTATTCTTCATAGGGCTTATTTATCTTGTGGAATCCATTTTGAGAAAGGTTGACCCAGACATTTTGAGTGGTACCGTGGACAAATATTTAATGGAAGGAAACATAATTGTAAAATAACTTTCTTGACAGCTGCTCAGTTTTGGTGGAATATGGTATTTTGATGTTTCCTTTTCAGTAAACTCAATAAACTGGAGCAGTTGGAAGAATTGAACTTAAGTGGCAACAAGCTAAAAACCATCCCCACGACCATAGCAAACTGCAAAAGGCTGCATACCCTTGTGGCACACTCCAACAATATCAGCATTTTCCCAGAAATACTGCAGTTGCCTCAGATCCAGGTACCTTTCTGTGCTGGAATGATGATGCCCTTAGTGGGGAAATGGCAGAAGTGTGGATAAGATTGTTACCTTTTATAAGGAAGAAGAACGTGGCAGTTAAGAATGTACTTAACTAACTACTGGGAAGCAACTAAGTTCCCCTATGAGGAAATAGTTGGGAGTAAAGGATGAACTCTCTGTGATGAATTTTATTTTTTATTTCTCCCTTTTCAGTTTGTAGATCTAAGTTGCAATGACTTGACAGAGATCCTGATTCCAGAAGCTCTTCCTGCTACATTACAAGACCTTGACCTAACTGGAAATACAAATCTGATTCTAGAACATAAGACCCTGGACATATTTAGGTGGGAAAAGTTCTGAAGTTGAATTCACACATGCGTTTAGTCCCCCCAGCTAGGTGTACTCTTCTTCAGTGTGGCAGAGGCACGGTTCACTAATGAACTAAAGAGTAGAGTGACTTAGGCATGCAGCCCCTGTCTCTACTTGGATTCAGTTATGTGTGTATGTGCTGTTGACTAGTCAGTCTATTGATTTTAGACTTCAGCCACACGCTAAACACTTTTTACATGACCAGCACAGATAACTTAATAGGCACAGATCACTTTATCTCTAAGACTCAATGCAAGTTCATCTATTGTAACAAGACTCCATTATATCAGAAAACTTAAGTACTAATGATTGTACAACTCTTCTTGATATGATTGAACTATTTAATTGTATGATATGTGGCTTATGTGCCAATGAAATGGTTTTTAAAAAAATGCTTCAGTAGACAGTTCACTGAAACTTGGAAGTCTTGCATTTAGTTTTCCAGTGAAATGAATGGCACTAGTTGTAATCATATTTGGCTCCTGTTTCTTCTACCTACTCCATTCCTTTCTCTCCTCCCTCTCAGCCAGTGGTTAATACACCACTGTCTTTCAGTCTACCCAGAGAACCTTAGTCTCTCAACAGATTGTTTTTCAGACCATACTATTGTTGGGCTAGTTTTGTAAAATACAGACAAGTACCCAGTTTAAACCCTTCCTCTATTACCAACAGCCATATCACAACTCTGAAAATTGATCAGAAACCTTTGCCAACCACTGATTCTACAGTCACATCCACCTTCTGGAGCCATGGACTGGCTGAGATGTCTGGGCAGAGAAATAAGTGAGTACGTTAGTCATGGATACTGAGAAAGGAACAAGGCAGCACCTGACACCTGGGTGCTCATCGGCCATGCTGTTTTCCTGTTGGGCATCAACAAATCCCAGAATATAAGCATCAAATGAGACTCTTCTGAAACTGATAAAACGAGACAAAAACCAGATCAGTGTACAGCTTAAAAAATACCAAACAACCCCTTTCTTGGCTAAAGAGGATAACTACTAGTTGATCAATTATAGCATTATCTTCCCCAGTCACCCTTGCCTATCCATAAAGCTTATTAAGATGATCAGTTATAGAGCATACTCCACTCAGTAGTCTACAATTTCCCATTTCCTTAGACCTATCCCAAAATTACTGAACAAAAGCCTATACCTTGTAATAGATTCCAGTACCCTCCTACTTGTGGAATTGAAAGGTAATGAACTTTTTCCCACTGACTTTTTGACACCTCGTCCTGTGCTCCATAGTTTTCCTTGCTTCAGTGAGTAATAAAATCAACTTGTTCACTTATAAGTGTGATGGTAATTTTGATCTGAAAGATTTAAACAATGTTATGGTTGTTTGCTGCTTTGGACTCTATTCTGATTCGTAATGGTACCACGTGATAGTGTAGAACTGCCCCGTAAGGTTTCTCAGGCTTTATGGCAGCTGCACAAAAAACAAACAAAAAAATACCCCAAACTCAACTGCTGTTGAGTTGATTGCAACTCATAGTGACCCTGTAGGACAAGGTAGAATTGCCTCTGTGAGTTCTGAGACTATAAACTTTTTGAAGAGTAGAAAGCCCCATCTTTCACCCCAGAGAGCCTGGTGGTTTTGAACTGTTGACCTTGCAATTAGCAGCCTGTGTAACCACTATGCCACCAGGTCTCCTATGGGAGTTGCTAAACCACCAGCCTTTTGGTTAGCAGTAACCATTTCACCATCAACACTTCTTTAGTGACAATATTGCTTTTGTTGTTAGGTGCAGTCGATAGGTTTCAAATCATAGTGACCCTTTGAATAACAAAGCAAAATACTGGTCATAAAACAGCTTCAGAATCATTACTATGTTTGAACCCATTGTTACAGCCACTGTGTCAGTCCGTCTGTTTTTTGTTAGCCGTCCTTTATTTATCAAGCATTATGTCTTTCTCAAAGGACTGGTCTATCATGTGCCCAACGTTCATGAGACTCACCACCCACACTTCTGTAGGCAGGAGCATTGTGTCTGTGCTTGTTACAAGGCAGATTTTTTCAATTGTCTGGCAGTCCAGAGTCATATCTTTGCCAGCACCTTAATTCAAGTGCATCAAATATTAAGTCTTCTTTATTCATTGTTTACCTCTCACATGCACAGGAAGTGATTGGGTCAGATATTCGTCAAAGTGGCTTCTTCACTTATCAACATCTTTAAAAGGTCTTTTGCAGAAGGCTTGCCCAGTGCAATACATTATTTGCTTTCTTTACTTCTGCTTCCATGACTGTTACTTCCATGGTCATTGATTGTGGATCCAAGTAAAAGGAAATCCTTGACAACTTTCAAATTTTCTGTTCATCATGATGTTTTCTCTTGGTTCACTTGTGAGCATTTTTGTTTTCTGTATGCTGAGATACAGTCCATATGGATTCAAGTCCTCTTCACATTCAACAAGCAAGGTGGTGTCATCTAAGTATCACAGATTAATTAGTTTTCCTTCGATCTTGATACTGTGTCCTTTTTCAGCTTCTCAAGTTTGAGAAGTTCAGCTCCTCAATTATTTGCTCAACATACAGATTGAATTAAGTGTAGTAAGAGGATATAACCCTGATGCACACTTTTCCTAATATGAAACCCACTGTATCCTCTGATTTCTTCTTGGTCTGCGTCTAGGTTTTGAGAACACAAATTAGTGTTCTGGAATTCTCATTGTTTTCACTGTTCACAAGTCCTTAATCACTATAAACAACAACAAAAACTCACTGCCATCGAGTCAATGCTGACTCATACTGATCCTTAGGACTGCCCTTGTGGATTTCTGAGATTGTAACACTTTATGGGAGTAGAAAGCCACAGCTTTCTCCCTTAGACTGGCTGGTTGTTTCCACCTGCTGACTTTTAAGATCACAACCCAGTGAATAGCCATTATGCAACTAGGGCTCTTCAATCACTATAAAGAGATGATATTTTCTCTTTGTAGCCTTTGACAACATTGCAGATAATATGTGCAAGGGGAAGCTAGCCCCTAGCACATCATTACAGGTCCGGTAGGTGCAATTGTACAGCAATAATAAGTAAAGATTATAGTTAAGTCGTAGAGAGCAGGAGAGAAGAGAAATATTGAAATAAATGGAGTCAGACACAATTCGTGGTAGCATGCTCACCTCAGTCCCCCTTGGTGGTCCACGTGGAGAGAGGGAATCTTTAATGCTAACCAAGGCTTTTATATTCTCTGGGGACATGCAAGCCCCCTAATTACAGGGGAAGACATACGTCATAGGAAGGGGTTGTGCTGTAGGTAATACAGTAATGGAAGGGGGTGATCTAGGGAGATCCACACAATAGGAAGAGGAGGGATTGGGGGTACACATGTGGCAAGATGGATCCTAGAGTCAGGATGGCAGCTGGATCTCCATAAGAACCATTAGCAGTAGGGTGTAAACCCCACCTACAGGAACCAAGCTAATGGTTGAAAGCTTCAAGGAGAAATAGTCCATTGTCCCCAGCAGCAGGGAGCAGGCTCACCCCTGTGGTGGGGCAAGACAAGACAGCAGTCAGCAGCGATTGCCTTCAGGGAGGATGTCTGTAATCATCTGATCTCCTCCCACAAATATTTACTGTCTACCAGTGTGCCTGAATTCCCCTTCTCACATCTACTTTTTTTTTTTTTTTTTGACTTTGACCAGGTTGCTTTTATTTATTTATTTTTTTTGGGGGGGGTTCAAATGATTTTTTTCCAGCACTTTTTAAAAGCTCCTCAATTTATTTACTTATTTAAATTTAATCATTTTATTGGGGCTCATACAATTCATCACAATACATAGATCAATTGTGTAAAGCACACCTATACATTTGTTGCCCTCATCATTCCCAAAATTCGCTTTCCTCAGCTCATTTTCCTTTTTTCTCCCTCCCCCATGAACCCTTAATAATTTATGAATTATTATTATATCTTATCTTACACTGCCCTGTGTCTCCCTTCACCCACCCCTCTGCTGCCCATCCCCCAGAGAGGAGGTTATATGTAGATCCCTGTGATCAATTCCACCCCCCACCCCCCTTCCCTCCTGGTATCACCACTGTCACCCCTGGTCCTGAGGGGTTCATCTGTCCTAGATTCCCTGCGTTTCCAGTTCCCATCTGTACTGCTGTGCATCCTCTGGTCTAACCAGGTTTGCAAGGCAGAATTGGGGTCATGGTAGTTGAGGGGGAGGAAGCGTTTCATATGCTGTTTAATTAGCTAATCTGGGGATTGTTTTCATGTTTAGATTAGGATTTACTACTGTTCTTTTCCACCCTCAATTCTTACTTTTTAAAGAAGGTTCTCTGAAGAAGAATCCTTTACCAATAACTCTTTAAAGTGCACTGTCTCATGCACCTGTTATAGGCTATGTGTGTCTGCCTTAGCTGTGGACAACTTTGCAGAGGGCGTGGGAGCTGTGTATGGCATGTTTGATGGAGACCGGAATGAGGAGCTTCCTCGCCTGCTGCAGTGTACAATGGCAGATGTGCTTTTGGAAGAGGTACAGCAGTCAACAAATGACACTGTTTTCATGGCTAACACCTTCTTGGTATCTCACAGGTAAGTAGACAGGTTTAATAATCTCTGAGTTCCATCTTTGGAAAATACATCTCTTAACCAAAAAATTCATGTCTAAGTTATGGAGACAGGTCCAGAAAGGGATTGTGTGCCACCTTCCCTGATACTCTCTCATCCTCTTAAGCGTGGCGTTGGAAATCTGGGCTCTTTAAAGAGTCGGTGAAAGGTTGGCATGCCCTGATCAGATCCATATGCTTCAAATTCTTGTTATTGGAGGTTTATCCAACTAATCTCATTAAAGTCTAGACCAGTGGTGCTCAACCTTCCTAATGCCATGACTCTTTAATACAGTTCCTCATGTTATGGTGACTCCCTCACCATAATTATTTTCATTGCTACTTCATAACTGTAATTTTGCTACTGTTATAAATCAGGCGACCCCTGTGAAAGGGTCCTTCGACGCCCAAAGGGGTTGTGACCCACAGATTGAGAACCGCTGCTGTAAACTGAAGAGCAAAAGCACTGTATAACCAAATTATTGAAAATCTTTTAGTAGCTAGTGAGTATCTTGCACATTGGTTGGGCTGTGCAAAAGACATGTATAATGGATCTCTGTGACAGAGAAATCACATTATATTTCAACCTAACTGTTGGGATGTGATATGACTAGTCACATGGCTTTTCATTCATGCATGTCCTCTGCACAGCCCAGCTGATCCAGGTCCAGATGCTGTTGTCACCCTTCCATGGTTTCACTTTCCATGGTTTCAGGTACCTCTTCCATTAGCTGTTGTCCAACAGTATTTAAAGTGTGTGCTGTTCTGAGTACCATTAGGAAATTCTATACCTTCCCCCTCAGTCTTGGAACTGACTTCTTCCTCTGCTGGGCATGAGCCTAGAAAACACAAATGAATCAATACCTACCCTCCTGGCGTAGCTTGGGTGCCTGTGGTATGTAATTATGTACAAGAAAAAAGCAGAGTATATGTAGGGCTTGGTACTACCTGTGATTTCAAGCACCCATGGATAGTCTTAGAGCATATCCTCTGTGGATAAGGAGGGCCTACTGTAATTATGTCTCCAATGAGATACAAGCAAAAGTAGGAGAAAAAGATAAGCCTTTAGTGCCCAACCTCACACTCCACCCTTTGGGGAACTTTTCAACATCACTTAGAAAGGCTATTTTCAGGTTTAAGGATAAGGGGAATAAGTCTGCATCATAATCACATGACAGAAAAAGATGGCTGTCACCCCTACCATTCTGAAAGACCACTATAGATGTTATTTCAAAACCAATATTGAAAGCACCCCCAACTTTCTTATAAAACTGGCTATTATGTCTACTTTTTTTTTAATTAAAAGATTTTTTTATAGTTCTTAGAACAAGAACAATCCATTCATCAATTGTATCAAGCATATTTGTACATATGTTGCCATCATTATTTTCTAAACATTTACTTTCTATTTGAGTCCTTGGTATCAGCTCCTTTTCTCCCTCCCTCTCCCCTTGATAAATGATAAAGTATTATTTTCATATTTTACACGGACCAATGTCTGTCTCCTCCCACGGTTTTTGTTTGTCCCCCCAGGGGGGAGGGTGGGGGTTATGTGTCAGTCATTAAAATCAGGTACCCCTTTCTCCCCTCTGCTCCCCAACTTCCCCCTGCTCTCCTGGTGGCGCTATTTCCATTCCTGTTCCTGGATTCTGTGTCGTGAACATATATCTGTACCTGTGCACATATACTGTGGTCTCGCCCACAGTGAAAGGCAGGACTGGGGTCATGATAGTGGGGGGTTTATTTTCTTTTGTTTTAAAACAGAAAATTAGGAATGGCTGGTCAGAAACTGGGCTGCTCTGCTCTCCTGTGCTACATCAGGCCTGACAGTGCTGATCCAACGAGTAGTTTTAGCTTGACTGTGGCCAACGTTGGCACGTGCCAGGCAATCCTGTGCCGAAGTGGGAAACCAGTGTCCCTCTCAAAAGTCTTCAGCCTGGAACAGGACCCAGAGGAGGCACAAAGAGTCAAGGACCAAAAAGCCATCATAACAGAGGTACATCTTGTTCTCTTTCCCTCATTTCTAACCCCCCAAATCTAATGACTGCTTTCTTGCATAGAGGCAGTGTAGATCCATTTTCTTCCTTGATTCAGTTTAGACTTAGCTGCCATACTACATCATTACCCTCTGAGTGATTGCTGTTGACGTTTCCAGATTGCTTTGTAAATTGTCTCTTAGTTCAGACAGAGGTTCAGTTTAGACAGTTTTAATAGTGGTAATGAAGGACGATCTTAAAGAGCAGTCGTTGCTACTTGCTGTCAAGTGTTCTAACTCAGGGTATGATTCGTGTCAGAGAAGAACTGCGCCATAGGGTTTCAGAGTTGTGACCTTTAGATGCAGATCTCCAAGCCTGTCTTCCAAAGCTCCTCTGCGTCGGTTTGAGCAGCCTTTCAGAGAGTTGTCAAGCTCTTAATCCTGTGTACTACACAGGGACTCTAACCCCATGAGAAAAGGTTTTTCATTCTTTACATACAGGTATGGAGAATAAAGTTTATGGGTGTGTGACAGTTCTGATAAATGAGAAAGCCAGTTAGTTACTGCAACCGTGAAATAAATGTATAGCTGATGTTAAGAGTTTTTGTTTTATCTTAAAAGCAGTTCAAAACATCTGGTAGATGAATGTTCGCAATCTGTAACCAGTTACTCCTTTTCCTATTAAGTATAGCTTTGATCTGATCCTCATTCTTGGTACAATCCTAACCGAGTGAGCAAATTACACTGTACTTTTGTTCATATTTCTAAAAATTATTTAATATTTTAGTTACAAAGATTCTCTTAATCATTTGCTATATTTCTTAATCTTTTCAGTCGCCATTGTGCTTAATGAGTAGTCCTTGTTCTGAGTCTTGCTTCGGAGAATCCTAGTGATGGGGAGTTTGTGACAGTTGTGTTTATTGCTCTAACAGTTCTTTCTCTATTTAAGGGCACGTGTAACCTGTATTTCATGTCAGAGCAAATAACTTTGAGATAGCAATGCCTTTAGTCATTTAAAAGTAATTAATTTTAATTGGTTTTAATATCAGTCCTCTGAGCCATTTGATATAACTATATGGTATTTTGCCCTTTTAGAATACAATACATTTGCTTCATGAGTCTCCTTAAAATTAGATGTGCACCAAGAAAAATCATGCCTCATTTCATTGTAGATTTCCAAGCACTGTGATATAGAAAGGTATAATGTTGCCTGTCACTGTTTGTTTCTCAGAATTTGAATTTTGCTTGTCTGTAGGACAACAAAGTGAATGGAGTGACCTGCTGTACTCGGATGCTGGGCTGTACATACCTCTACCCTTGGATCCTTCCCAAGCCCCACATATCTTCCACTTCACTTACTATTCAGGATGAGTTGTTGATTCTGGGGAACAAAGCACTGTGGGAACACTTGTCCTACACAGAAGCTATTAATGCAGTGCGTCATGTCCAAGACCCATTAGCAGCTGCCAAGAAGCTGTGCACTTTAGCACAGAGCTATGGCTGTCAGGACAATGTGGGGGCCATGGTGGTTTATTTGAACATCGGTGAGGAAGGTTGTACATGTGAAGTGAATGGGCTCAGCCTCCCAGGTCCTGTCGGATTTGCTTCAACCACCATCATTAAAGACCCCCCCAAGCCAACCACCCCTTCCTCTAGTAGTGGTATTGCCTCTGAGTTCAGCAGTGAAATGTCCACCTCAGAAGTGAGTAGTGAGGTGGGATCCACGGCTTCTGATGAACATAACACTGTCGGCCTGGACACTGGCTTGCTCCCAAGGCCAGAGAGGCGCTGTAGCCTTCACCCAGCCCCGACCGCTGGGATTTTCCAGCGCCAGCCTTCTTGTGCGACTTTTTCAAGCAATCAGTCTGACAATGGCCTGGACAGTGATGATGACCAGCCCGTTGAAGGGGTCATAACAAATGGCAGCAAGGTAGAAGTGGAAGTAGATATCCATTGCTGTAGAGGTAGAGACCTTGAGAACTTTACTACTTTTATGGAGAATTCTCCTACCCTGTTTCCTGAGGAACATGCTAGAGGTGTGCTTTTTGGGATCCGAAGACAGAACAGTGTGAACAGTGGCATACTCCCGCCAGTGAGCAAGGACAGGATGGAATTGCAGAAGTCTCCCTCCACGTCCTGTCTCTATGGAAAGAAGCTCTCCAACGGCTCCATTGTGCCTCCAGAAGACAGCCTGAACCTCATTGAAGTGGCCACAGAAGCTCCCAAGAAGAAAACTGGCTATTTTGCTGCCCCAGCACAGCTGGAGCCCGAGGATCAGTTTGTTGTACCTCGTGACCTGGAAGAAGAAGTGAAGGAGCAAATGAAACAGCACCAGGAATGCAGGCCTGAGCCTGAGCCCAGTGAAGAGGATCGGACTGAGGTACCAGAGGAGTTTGACACCGCACTGTAATTCTCCCCAGGAGTCACACTGTTAGAGCAGGCTGTGCAGAGCCTTTGTGCCCCTGCATTTCTAAACCAGAGATGAGCCAGGGTAGAAATTAGAGCCAAAAAGGGGTGAGAGCTATCAGAGTCTTGCTCTGGATAAGCCACTATCAGTGTTAAGTTTTGCATTTAACCTGTATTGGGATTCCCAGAATTGCTGGGAAGAAAGCACCTGTTCTGCATCAATCCTACCACCTGCCATTAACCCTTTCTCTCCTAGGATAATTTTGAGAATTTGCCTGCCTGGGCAGGAAAGGGACTATTTCTGTGGAGGAAATGAGTGAAGATTGATTCCCTTTATTAATTGCTGCTGATGGATCTCTGTGACAGAGAAATCACCTTATATCTCAACCTAACTGATTCGGGATGTGATGTGACTAGTCACATGGCTTTTCATTCTTCTCTACGAGAAAACAGCCTATCAAAATGATGTTTATTGGAAATGTCGAACCAATCAAACAGATAATTTATGTATGTAATGTAACAAGAGCACTTTTCATTGACTGTGAATTTTTTTATTTTTGAATCTGCACTCGAGCCAATTTTCTTAGAGGCAGCCTGACATCTCTGTCCCCAGGGAGAAAGAGAACCAGGCATTGGAGCCTTTTGTAAGGGTACTGGGGAAGGCCATGGGAAATTGGTTTCCCAGCAGATCACAAGAGAGGAATTTTGGGGTTGGTCTCGTCCCATCACATATGATAGAGTTGGCAGTCACTCTCTTAGTACATAGGGCCAAGGCTGGTACTGCTTGTGTGCAAACCTTGAGGCACAGCAGGCAACTAAAGAGACTGAGGCTGAGTGAGAACAAATTATGGATGCATGGAGCTCACGTTAGGCATGTTTCTTTGCCTACTCTAGAGCAGAGTGATGGTTTTCTATTACATCAGAAGTGAGTTGAGAATTCACCTTTCAGGTTTTTCAGAGTACTCTTGTGAAAATTGTTTACCTTACATGGCTTCAGAGTACTGGGCTCAGTTACTAAGACTCAATTGAGAAATTCCTAAGATTACAGAAAACTTGGTTTACCGTGGTTTTTGCACATTCCACTTAATCCTAGCAACACTTCTTTGTATATTTCTGTTGCCTTGGCCATTATAAAATTCACTTAGGAAAATTAATTCTACTTAATTCATATTAACTTTTGACATTGCTTGATTTTACCAAGTGGGAAATGTGCTTTGGATTTTTTGGAATACATTCACAATGAAAAAAAAATAGAGTGAAACCAATTTTAATTTGTTTTATTGGAAACAATGTTAAAAGATAAGGGTGGCATTTAGCCCCTTGCATTTTTGAAATTTGTCTTTAAAGCAATAGTAGATAACTGAGGACCTGCTCATAAATGGGTGTGCAGTTTTCATCTTCCCCGAGATTATAGGTCCATCAATGTGTCACTGGCCTGTGCTCTTGAGGGATTCTGTACCCCTAAATGACTGTGCAATGTACAAGCCCTCAAAATCGGAATCTGAGTCCTTGAATATCAGAAACACTTGACTTCCCTGTGTCAAACTACTGGTAGGATACTGAAAGATTCTAGAACTCAGGCCTTTGACTTGTTGGGGGCGGGGTGACTGCTCATGTAAATGTAGGTGGGAACAATAGTGTTTAGTCGCCTTATTTTTATGTAAGATTTGGGGCAGGGGCGGCGATGAGGAAAAACCCAAGATGACAGTGATGGGTAATGTAAAACATTGTCCTACCCAGACAAGAACTTTGGAGTAATAGAATTGTGATAGTACCTAGACTTGAAGGTTATTTTGGGGAAACACCACTTTAATAATACAGTCTCATAAAATTTGCCATTTATCTGTGAATCTTTTTCTTCTCTGTGTTCCCCACCTTATCAGAACTACCATAAAAACCCAGTTCTGAAATGACCTTACCAGATATAAATATATTTATTTTTTAGTCAAGAATTCTGAAATTCAAAATGTTTTTGTGGTAGAAAGTTATTTTTAGCAAACACTAGATTGTATTGAGAACTTTTAACAAAGCCTACACCAAAATGGCTTATTCATTGAATTCATTTCCCTCTACAATTAATTGCTGTGTTAAAACAGTGTAAAAAGGCCATAGCCTGTTACCAAAAATATAATACAGATTCTTAACTGATGAGCTAATTGAGAGAAGTTGTGTGATCTGATTAAGCTATCTGACTTGAAGTCTAGTGATCCGTCTCCAGGTGAATGTAATCGACTTCACAGACCTTAGCTGAGTGGACACTCCCGGGGGCAGAGTCCAGCTGATCTCTAGCCAGATTTTGGCCTCTGCATGATTCTCAGGTCTCTGTGTGTACCTCCCATTTCATTGAGAAACTTAACTGAATCCTGAAAGAATATTGTTGAATATGGAAGGAGTTCATGTGTCCCATGGACAAGAAAATACACAAGTCTTGGCAGCATAGTATTCTTTGTTTTATCCAAGTGGATTGGAAGTATATTAGAGAATTTGAATAGTGGTAGGCATAAAGCTACAGTGCTACTATGGAGTCGTTGATTACCACTTCTAGTACATCTGAGGCTTTATTATACTACTGTAGAGTGTTTGTGTGGCCGTGTGTGTGCAGTAAGGTAGTGAATTCCTTTTCCTGGTGTGTAGCAGAGCCGACTGGAGCAGCCTGGCAGTCATTGGGTGCTACTATAACTGTTTGTAGTGAGTGCTATTCTCCAGGAGATGGCGCCAGATCGACTGGACATTAAATGATGCTCTTCTTTCCGTGTAGACCTGCCTGCAGCAACAGCAGGTACTTGGGAGCTCACCTTCTCTATCCAATAATTATTAATGAAAAGGCCTCCACAAGGGAGCACTTGGCTGTGATTGATCAATGTACCAATTATTAAATAATTAGTTTCCAAGCCATTCAGTGATGCCTGTAACATCACTATAGAACTTTATTGCATCACTTTTTACTTCCCTCTGGGTGGAGCCTTCTAGGCTCCTGGGTCCTGGAGGCAAGTTTAGTCTTTCTCTCCAGCTAGTGACTTTTGCCCCATAGTTGGGTAAATACTTCCTAGATTGAGAAAAGCAGTTACAGTAAGTAAACCTTGCTGTTTCCCTCATTTGGTGATCATTCAGTCACGCATAAGCTCCTTGTATTCTAAATTTTCATGCACTTCTCCCAGATGCTGTAGGGTCGTGTCCCCCCCCCACTGTTGCCAATGGATGTCATCCAGACAGTGGGCTCATATTGTATGGTTTTGTGCAATCATTGTTGTAGTCTAAGACTCATTATAGTGTATTTTTGATATTTTTGAAATGTGTTAAATTTTTTAATTCAATAATATGAGCCAGAGCATGTTGCAGCAAATCTATTGTTTGTAAAAAAACAAAACAAAAAACCACAATAACAATAAATAAAATAAAATGGAATATCTTTTTCATGGCTTTGTTTTAAAATGGAGTATGTGTTCTTTCATATGCTATTTCAGCATAAAACATGATCTTTCTGCATTTTCTCGCTTTAGGAAAACTAAGCAAGAACAAACCCATCAAACTACATTCCATGATGCTCTATGAAGCAATGAGTTAAAGCAGGAATAAGTATTTTTGATCATCTTTTCAGCTGAACTAGCAAGTTTTTACTTTAAGAAACATCATATGCTGCCTTTTTGTGTAAAGACCTCAAAGGCAGAAAAGGGTTCTTATTTACGTGTAGATTACCAGGTGAGGAGAGGAAACTGAGGGGCCCTGGGGGGCTAGTTGGGCTGATAAACCATAAGGTCAGCCATTCAAAATCACCAGCCACTCAGTGGGAGAAAGATGAAACTTTCCACTCTCATAAGTATTTACAATCTCAGAAACCTACAGAGGCAGTTCTAACCTGCCACTATGAGTTGTAATTGACTAGATGGAAGTGAGTTTTGAGAGAGAAGAAACCAAATTGTGAACAGTCTGTACCTACCTGAGAGCAGTGCAAATGAGCTAACTGGATAATCTTGACCATTTTGCTTCTCATAACAATTTTGGTGTTGGAAAGAACTAAAGGCATAGCTCTTAGAATCCTGTTAAGCCAAAATGTCTTTTGGGTGTCTCAGAATCTTGTGGATTCTAAGCAAGGTTTACCACCCCTCACTCCATTTAAGAGCCAAGGCTTCCTTTTTCTCGAAGAATGGATGCTTTAAAAATGTGGCTCAACAACTTTTAATGACTACTGGTTAGGCACCATGGCCCCATCTCTTTAACACCCAATCCCTAAGACAGACCTCCCTATTCCATGGTGCCAGAATGAAGTTCCCCAAGCATGCCAGTCTCTGCTTCATGCCCTATTAATTCCCTGCTAAACTGAAGGTCACTCAGAACAAGTTCCAGTGTGTGATTCAATTGCCCAAATCGTACCTCTGCTACTTAAAGACCTAAGACTTAAGGCAAGTTATTGAATCTTTTAAGGTTCATTTTAGAGGACCTAATGCCGGGGGCTTAAGTGGAGAGGAAATGTTTTGAGAATGATGAGGGCAATGAATGTACAAATGCGCTTTACACAATTGGTGTGTGTATGGATTGTGATGAGTTGTGTGAGCCCCAAATAAAATGATTTAAAAAAAAAGTTATATGAGCCCCCAATAAAATGATTTATTAGTAAAAAGTAAAATAAAATACACACCTTTTATTTTTTTAAAAAAGGTTCATTTTAAGTTTGTGAAATGGGGAAAACAGTATCTCTTGTCAGTTGTTAGTTAAAAGAGATTACGAAGTGCTTCTGTGGCACATTACTGGTCTGTACCTGGCACACAGTGAGCGAGCGCTCCAAATGTTAACTACTGGGTCAGTCACTCCATCTCATCTGCAAACCACAGATAACAAAGGCTTGCTAAAGCACTTTGAACATTATAAAACCATAAGCCAGGAGTGTAGGATTAGAATGATCTGTGGGCTGCATATACTTGGGAGGAGCCAACCCTCAGAACATGATCATGGGGGGCCCACGTACAAAGCCGAAGGCAGGGAGCCTGGTCAAAGCTTCTGGTTCATCAGGCACAAGACCTGGGGGTGGGCAGAGATCTGAAAAAGGCACATTCCAAGGAATAATTGCTAGGTCAGAATGGTGAGGTGGGGGGGCAGTGTGTTGTTTGCTTTTTGCTGCTCTTAAATGCTTTCACCCTACGGTGAAAACTGAGATGCTGGCCACTGCCTTGAGGCTACGGGCAGTGGAGTGCCATGTGCCTTTCCGTGGCACAACAGCTTTTGAAAATTTTAACCTAGCACTGTAGATTTCTTGTTCGTTATTCTCCTTTAACAAGCTTTTATTTGTAAACATGTGATCCAGATACTTCCCTAGGTCTATATGAAACGGTACCCCAATTTTTTTTCAATTGTTTTACAAAGCAATCCTATTACCTTTAAAGTACTCTCCATTATACTTAATACATTTGTCAAATCTGCAATTCTCTTCTTAGGAACTATTTTCAAACTTATGTTTCGATATCTGACAGCACCTCCCTCGTTATTTTTCTCCCCCTCTTCTAAGTTGTCAAATAGCTGTCCTTTCATGATCCTCTTCATTTTTGGAAACAAAAAGAAGTACACGGAGCATGTGCGTGGAGAAGAGAGGCATGCTGTTTTTTAGGCCAAAAACTGGCACACTGAGATGACTGAGTACGTAGGTCCATTGTCGTGGTGGCAAAACCAGTCCCTGTCTGCCATGAATCAGGCCTTTTTTGTTGCACACTTTTACACAATCTTTTCAGAACCTCTAAATAGAAAGCTTGATTTATGTCTGACCTGGTGGAACAAACTTCAAATGTACTATCCCCCTCACACTGAAAAAACAAATGAGCATCATTTTGATCTTTTATTTAATGTAACGAGCTTTTGTGGGGCAAGGTGAGGATGGTGTCTTTCATTGGCTTGCTTGATGTTTGCTTTCGGGGTCATAAGAATAGCACCATGTCTCATTACCAGTAATAACCCTGGGAAAAGTCTGGGTCTCTTCCGAGAAATTCTTCAAAGTATGGCATGTTTCCACTTTGCTCTTTTTTCTGGTCAGAACCCAAGGCACAAATTCCACAGTGACCTTTCATTCCCAAGTCTTCCATTAAAATTTGCTAAACCAAGTTCCAAGATAGTCCAGATAATTGTGTTCAGCAAGCTGTGTTCCACATCACAACAGTTTCTGTGGCATTTTTCCTGAGCAAAAAAGTTTCACAGCCGTACCCTATTAAATCAGCCATCACAAAAAATGAGATTCAAGTGAAAGTGCTTTTACAAAAGAATTCTCTGTGACCAGACAGAATCTTCCCAGGCGACGCTACTGGTGCACCAAATCAGAGCTAGCTGCTCACATGGTGGGGAAAATGCATGCTATGAAAGCTCCGCCCAGTGGTGCTTTTCCCCGTGTTTTGATACCCCCTCGCAAGAGGTTCAGTTTTGACACTGTACCTTGAATAGGTCCTATAAGAATTAGCTATCAAGAATTAGGAAAAAATAACTGATGAGAATGCATATTCCTAGTTGTTGCACCTGATATGAATTGATAGACTCAAGACTAATCAAAGTGTAAGGGCAACTATGAACCACTTGATTAAAATTACTAAAAGGACTAAAGTTTCAGTGTGAGTGATCCGTTACATTATTAAAATGGTCTGTAAAAGGCAGAGGGCCCTCTGGGAGAAGGCAGGAATGAAAAGGCCTTCAATAAGCTTTTATTGTTTAGTAAAATTAACTGTTTCATCTTTTAAATCAGTTAAGACTATTAACTTTCTTACTACTTAGAAGCCTCATGCTTAACTATTTCAGGAAAAGTACATTTCAATTGGATGCCTTACCACAAAAAAGTAAATAACTTGGAATGGCTGTCCAAAACAAAAAAACATTCTCTCTGGGCCCTAATACAGAATCCTGAGCAGGAACATGCATGGTGAAAAAAGCTGATGGTGCCCGGCTATCAAAAAGTATAGTGTCTGGGGTCTTAAAGGCTTGAAGGTAATCAAGCGGCCATCAAGCTCAGAAGCAACAAAGCCCACATGGAAGAAGCACATTAGCCTATGCAACCACAAGGTGTCGAAGGGATCAGGTATAAAGCATCAGAACAAAAAAAATCTTACCATAGTGAATGATGGGGGCAGTGCGGAGTAGAGATCCAAAGCCCATTAGTAGGCCACTGGAGATCCCCTTGCAGAGGTGTTTCGGGGAGGAGATGAGCCAGTCAGGGTGCGATGTAACAACGATGAGAAATACAACTTTCCTCTAGTTCCTAAATGTTTCCTCCCTGCTCCGACTACCATGACTCGAATTCTACTTTGCAAGTCTGGCTAGACCAGAGGATGTACACTGGTACATATAGGAACTGAAAATACAGGGAATCCAGGGCGGATGAGCCCTACAGGACCAGTGGTGTGAGTGGCAAAACAGGGAGGGTAAAGGGAGAATGGGTAGGAAAGGGAACCGATTACAAGGAACTGTGTGTGACCTCCTCCCTGGGGGACAGACAACTGAAAAGTGGGTGAAGGGAGACGTCAGACAGGGCAAGATATGTCAAAATACCAATTTATAAACTATCAAGGGCTCATGCGGGAGGGGGGAGCGGGGAGGAAGGGGAAAATGACTTAATGTCGGGGGTTTAAGTGGAGAGAAAATGTTTTGAGAATGATGTACAAATGCGCTTTACACAATTGATGTGTGTATGGATTACGATAACAGTTGTATGAGCCCCTAATAAAATATATTTTTTTTAAAAAGCATCTCAATGAATCAGGAGTCCGACCTGCCATCTCGAACAGAAGGAAGTCCCAGTCTCTGCTGTATGGGTAGAATAAGTTCCCCTCTTGGTGATACAGAATGTAAGCAGTCAGAACTCACACCACACAACTGTTCCATGGGGGCCAGGGGTGGGGTACGTATGGTACAATTCTGATGACTTTAAAGGAGCTGTGATGGTTAAGATGCTTCTATTGTAGCACTGAACCTGCTGCCCTGTGACGCGTAATCATCTTTTCGAATTTCGCTGGCTGGTCAGCTATTAGCATTGCAACATTACCATGTGGGGAGAGAGCTATACCACAGGGGTATATCAAACTTCTGATAATGGCTCTGTTGGAAAGCTCTCATCAGTTAGCCAACAAGGATTTATTAATTTCCTTTATAGAATAAAAATGATCAATCATTTAACTTTGCACTGATCCCCCCAAAAAAACATGTATGGAATTAAGAAAGCAAAAGAAAAATTTTAAACTGTCAATGGACAATTTTATAGGGCCAGGTTTTTTGAGAGACAGAATGAGCCACTGACATGTAGGTTTTAAAAGATATCCTCAGAGTATTCCGGACCACAGGTATTCTGGGGGATCACTGTTGTTCCTCTGCAGCTCTTGGCTCTCTTTGTAGTGCTTCAGTTCTCGGTAGTTCCGTAGGGCTAGTACCACGCTGGCAGTGTACAAAACCACAAGAAGACCAGCAAAGGTGGCTGCCGCTCCGTCAGTGCCTGCCAGCTCGCAGTTCATCCAGGTAAGACCCCTACGGGCATAGAGCCGCTCTCTCATTTTGCAGGTATCCGTGGAGTTGATCCGCAGAGCCACATGGAGGTAAATGCCAATGCCTGTGCAGTAGCCCACCGCTGCTAGGAAGCTGAAGGCAGCCTCCACAAGGAGCCACTTTCCCGGCAGTTTTGTTAGGCTCTTGGCTCCTTGGAGTAAAACACCCATGGTGAGGACGCCCAGCCCCAGAGAAACTGCCACACCACCATATATCAGGGGTGCCCTCAGGACCGTGTACTTCTGATCCAGCTGCCGAACCTGCTCCAGCTCAGTGCCCTCAAATGGTGAGTGGTAGTTCCCAAGGCCGCCACCACTGGTAATGCTGGCACTGAAACCAGCAAGGACGAAGTAGGAGGCCACGATACATATGAGAACCATTCCGTTCAGTATCACTTCCAATATCTGTACCACACCTGGAAGGAGACACACCTGGATTTAACACTGACAGCACTCACCCATGAACACCCTCCAGGTCAAACCAGAGAAATAGCAGATGCCGTAATTAAAGTCATGATCCAATTCAGTGTTCACATCCCACCACTGCCACACCACACCCCCTTTTAAAACATTCATGTTTGAGTAATTGAAATACCACTCTGGAAAACGGGGGGTGCACCATTCCTGGAAGTACTTCAATACCAGATATTACACTTGATCTTAGCCAAAAGGCCGAGAATTGACAATTTCTTAAACATACCCTTACTGTGAGACTTAGCACCACATGCATCTTACCCTAAAAAAAAATGAGATCTTACGTTCGTCTACACAAAACCATGTACATGAATGTTTGTTGCAGCTGTATAACAGCCAAATTTTAGAATCTCATGTTCTTCAGTGGGTGATTAAACAGGGATACATCTAAGGAGCCCTGGTGGCTTACGTGGTTAAGCACTCAACTGCTGCTTAAAAGGTCAGCAGTTCAAACCCATCAGTCACTCCAAGGGAGAAAGGTGTAGCAGTCTACTTTTGTAAAAGATTTATAACTTTGGAAATCCTATGAGACAGTTTTTCTCTTGTCCTATGAGGTCCCTATGAGTCAGAATCAATAGCAATCTGTTTTTGTTTTTTTTTAAGTTAGTACATCCACACCGTGGAATCCTACACAGCAAAAGGGAGTGAAATACTAATACACTAATACAGCTCAAGGAACTTCTGCTGTGTGCAAAAAGGCAGCCTCAAAGTTACATACCACATGAGTCTAAAACAACCTTGTAAAGATACATGTAGAGTTGGAGAACAGATCAGGGGCTAGCATTGACTGAAAAGAAGGGAGTGGGTATGACTAAAGGGAGAGCCGGTGATGGAGTTCTGGAGTAGACGTGGGGGTGGTTCTATGAACCCACGTGTGATAGAACCACACAGAACAATACACACGTGTGCAACACACAAATGAGTGTGGTAAAATTGGCCAAATCTGAACCCTATGGATTAGTCATGTCCATTTCCTGGTTTTGATATTATACTATAATAGGCACCAGTTACCACTGGGGAAACTGGGTAATACACTGGGCCTTTCCATACTATTTTTACAACTTCCTGTGAAGCTCTATTTCAAATTTTCAAAAACAGATTGACATCAAAAGAGGTGAAAAAATTCACTCCTGCCTCCTCCATCTACCCCAACCACTTGTTAAGTTTCTAGTATAACTTGTGTTTTCAAAATCACAAATTATTATTTTATCCTTTCTCCCCCTTTCCCCAAAAGCATATCACACATTGTTCTAGCTGTTTCCACTTAATCTAGCCTAGAGATGGTTCCAAATAGGTTCAAGGAACTATCTACACTCTGTTCTATGGCTCCAACCCCACTGCTTGGGTGAGCCAGTTTACTCACCCAGAGCCTCCTGAGAATTCCTTACAAGTCCAAGAAACTTGCTTTGAGGTCAGCAGGGGCCATCAGGTGGACAGAGACTTTGTGTGCCTTTGCCCAGGTCAGTGTCCACTTGTTACTGCCAGAAACCCCAGGCTCTTAGGTGTATTTCTGAGCAAAGGTCTGTCATTCTCATGGTGTAAAGAGGAAAAGAGGAAAACGTGATTATTGGACAACAAGATCAAGTCCTCACTCTTCTGCCCCGGGACCCTGACCAGTTCACTCAGCCTTTCTAGGATTCCTGCCTGTCTTATCCCAGAGCTGTGGTGAGTCTCAAATGAAAGAACATAAAAACACTTTGAAAAATCGTAAAATGTTATACAAGTAGATGGTGATACTACTCACTAACATTCTTAGAGTGGAGGGGGATTAGTAACAGACTTCAGAAATGGGACCAATTTATGAAGAAAAGTGTGGCTTCCCAGAAAGCAGAGAAGTCCTCTAGTTCACCCTCGTACTGAACCCCATGATATTTAAAAACTGAAAGTTAAAGAGCAGTATCTCCAAGTCTTCAGCACAGCTGCCAGGCTTGCTGATCCTATCTCCTGCTGGGCCCACATGCATTCCTAGGAGATCCACAGGACACAGTCAAGAGCTCTGAGTTGAGAAACTATATTCCTCTGATTTAAAATTTGAAAATAACACCATACTCAAACAGCCTACTCTCCACCCAGGCACTGTGTACTACTGGCCCTTCTCCCTCCAGCACAATGAGTGGGTTGTCCCAAACACCATTCTAAATTAAGTATGGCAGTAGCACACAAAGGCTAATCTCGTCTTCAGGACAGAAACAGGCATACTAGAACCTGAACTTGTCCTTCTGGGACCTCCCCTGCCAAGTGTGGAGTTCCAATCTGCAACACAAATCTGGTAGACTGCTAAACTGAAATGGAACACATCTAGATTTTGTCAGTGAGCCACTAACTCCATTTATGAGGATAGTCTTGTGCCAGGTCAGATGATATTGGATATGTTTAGGATAAAAACACAAAATAATAGATAATTGATGAAGGATTCATGAGGGTGGGAGGGAGGGGATGAAAAGAGAAACTGATGCTCAAGTAGAAAGTGTTTTGGAAATGTTGATGGAAACATACAAGTGTGCTTAACACTATTGAATGATGGATTGTTGTAAGATTCAAAGATCCCAATAAAATGATTAATAATAATAAAAAAACACTGTCACAGGTGCCTGCTAAGGCCTGGCCTGGTTTAGTGATCAATATTAAAAAGGCCCACATATTTCCAAGCATGTTGTTAGTGGGGATGGATGAGGAGAAAAGTAAGTGGGCAATTACCAGAACTTGTCTTGGAAGAAAGGCCTGGTAATCCACTCCTGAACAACCAGCCACTGAAAACTTTGTGGAGTTAAATAAACAAGAGTTCTGATGTGACCTATGTGGTCAGCATGAGTCAGACATGCCTCAATGACTGACCGCTGGTTATCAGGGTTTACTTCTACAAAGGAAGGGACAAACAGGAATGAGATTTGTGTTGGCAATAACTTTTTTCTGGCGAGACTGCTTTGTGTCTGGTCATTTAACCCTCCACTGACTTCTGCATCTACTTCCGTCGTTGCACTGTTACTGTGGTCCTGGAAACACTGAGGTCAAATCAGTTTTTTAATTTTCCAAAATAAAACACATGTTCAATCAAGTCATACGTAAATGAAGAATAAAAATTCATTCTCTTCAGAAGTAAAAACTAATACTACTAAAAAAATGCTTTCTTAGGGCTTCTCTTAGGTGCCCTGGCGGCACCTTGTTAAGCGCTGAGCTACTAACTGGCAAGTCAGTGGTTTGACTCCACTCAGCAGCTTTGTAGGGTAAAGAACTGACAATCTGCTCTTAGGATTACAGCCTAGAAAGCCCCATGGGACATACCTACTCTGTGCTCCAGGGTCACTCTGAGTTGTGGGCAACCCAGATCTGGGGAGGATACTCCCAAAATGCGTATTCTTTGAGACATTTTCTAATCACGTACAAGTACACACAGATATTTCCTTTTCTAAATCTAAATGGAACTCATTTAAATGTGATAAAGCACATTTAAAGGAATAATAAACATACTATAAAGAGAACCATCACCTCCAAATTAAGATTTCTCTTTGGATATTGTTATTGGCGTCATAAAAAAGGAAAGAACATATTACTTTTTCCACAAAACTATATTTTAATGTTTCATAAAGCCACAACTTAATGTCTGACCAAAAGTAACAGGCTGTTCCATTGGGAAAGATTTTCAATTCTTTTATTCTGGATGGGTCCTGAATTCCAGATGCCAGGCTTAATTCTTTGTACAATGGTACATTTACAAGAGGTACAAAACACTTATTGAGCTTTCAAGGCAATTATAAGGGGCCTTAGACTAGCTCGTTTGCAGTGAATTAATCTGATTCCTCTTTCCTCAGCCCACACCTACCTCCAACTTGAACGTTACAAGAGTAATCGCCCCAGAAACCCTCGCCGCCTCCAGGCACAGTTCTGAGGAAGTGGAAGAAACGGAGAGTTCAGGCCAAAACAAGTGTCTCGTGCTTTTCATAATCTTTGAAGGGAAGGTTCTTCAAACGCCCTCACTTGATTTCCCTTTGTTTCATCAAGAGGGGGCCTTGGCACAGCAGGTGTCTTCGTCTTGTGGGCCGTGGGCTCCGAGGACTACAGAAACCGAAGAATGCTGCTCCGTGCAACCGCGCTCTGCCCCCATAGCACAGTTGGCTGGTCACTTTCAAGGGTGGGCAACATCCCCGATGAAGTATTCTTGTGAAAGAGAGCAGCGTGGGGCCACTGCCATCGCTTCCATTGTCAGAACATTGGGGAAAAAACCCTTAAAACTCAATCATTTCTGCTGGCTTGTGTTTCAACTTCCTTACTTTTCGGTAACCCTTGATGGCCAGGACAGCCCCAAAGGCAAAGGCCACGATGCCCAGGGCAGCAAAGATGGCGGCTCCTATGTCTCCCCCATGGAAACTGCAGCTGAAGCCGCTGTAGCCCTTGCTTTGGTACAGTGCTTCCCTCTCTTTACACAGAGCGGAGTTGTAGGCAGCAAAGAGGTGGCTGAAATAGAAATACAAAGCTGGGATGTATGCTACAGCAATCAGCATGTCCAGCAAGGCTTCAGTCACCAGGCACAGTGGGCAGTGCCATGGGACCCGCAGGACACCCATGGCGATGAGGAGGCAGCTGTAGGCCAGGAGGGCTCCGCTGTAGGCCATTGCTGCAGTGACTGTGGGCAGCTTCAGCTGGTAGAACTGGACATCCAGCTGCTGGGCTTTCTCTCCATCGGCACCATCAAAACCACTGTAAGCCCCTCCGAACTGGTAGTAGTAAATGCCCCCCAGGCTGGTGATGCCCGTGTAGCCCCCTGTGGAACTGTAAGACACAGAGCTGCAGGCCAGGATCAGCACGCTCAGGAGAACCGCCAGCAGCTGGCAGCAGGCTGCAAAAAAAGGCCGTGTTACCGTTTGGGGTGATGACAGTTAGTCCCCGATGAGGGATGCAGACGGTGAAGCTTGGCTGTAAACCCAAAGGTTAAAATTCAAATCCGCCCAGAGGCACCTTGTAAGAAAGACCTGACAATCTACTCCTGAAAATCAGCCACTAAAATCCCACGGAGCACAGCGCTACTCAGACACACAGGGTGGCCAGGAGTTGGAATCAAAAGCACCTGTTCTGGTTGATACTTTTTGTGTGTGTGACTTAGCACTAGAGATTCTTCCAGCTCAGACCACTAACTCTTTATGCTGTCCCCTGGGAACGATTTGGTGCCTAACTGGTTTTTGCTGCTAGTGAGGAACTCCAGTCTCCAGATGGAACCAGAGATACTCAGGACTGAAAAAAGAAAGCCTCAAAAGGGCAAGGCCGCCTGTCTGGTGAGAGGTTCAGGTAGATGGTGGAAGCAGTCAAGTCAGCAGGAAGAGAGGCTTCCTGTGTGGAGGGAAAGGCCAGAATGTGCCCTCTCCCCTAAACAAGAAGGGGTTCCTGTTGATACCTGCTTTGTAGCCATCTTCAATTTTCCAGAGGTAACTTCTAGTTTGGGGGGAAAATCCTTGAGCTTAACAAATGATGACCTTAGAAAAAAGCATGGACGTATACGTCAAAATGGTAACTACGAGTCTCATGCCTTATGAAAAATTAAGTTAATTAAAACCACAAGGCTTACTAAATTAAACATACTGAAAGCAGAAACATCAACTGTTATGTGTACACCAATATTTACTGCAGCACTATTGACAATAGCCAAAAGATGGGAACAACCTATAATGCCCACCAACAGATGAACGTGGGGAAGCAAAATGTGGTCTGTTAATAAAATGGAATATCTCTCGGCCAAAGAGGAACAAAGTCCGGATACATGCTACAACATGGATAAGCCTTTAGAACATATTGCTGAGGAAAACATGTCACACAGCGGTAATTATTGGATGCTTCTATTTATATGAAATATCAAATATCTACAGATCTAAGGTTATGAGCAGTCACCAGGGGCAAGAAAGAGGGAAGGGGAAAAGACTCACTCCTTAGGAGAACTGAGTCTCTGTTAAACTTGGTGGAAACATTCGGAAAACATAATGGTGATGGTTATGCAACACAAGGATCACAAGGCCACTAACTTGTACATGTGAAGAATGTACAATTAAAAGTAAATTAAAAGAAAATAAACGTTTTTCATTCTTAGACTTTAACTCAGTAACTTTGTTTACTTCAATTTTCCTTAAGACAACGCTCGGGATATGTTTGGGATTTTCCCAGAGCTGGCTTCTTCCCAGACCCCCAGCTTCTTTCTGTTGGACAACGAAAGGGACCCAGGTTCCCACCAAAGCCGGGCGCTTCTCTCAACACCTGCTTTGTTGAGATATAATTTACAAGCAACAAAATGCATCCACATCAAACATGCAGTCTGACAGGATTTAACAAATATGTGTCCTGTTGAATATTCCATTTTTCCACAAATCTCGTGAAGCTCCGCAGTATACTAGGTTGGCCTTTTCTGCAGATGAGCGGTCATACCCAGGTGCTTTTTCGTCTTTTTTTTCATGCTCAGTTCTTCAAGCCTGCTTGCCTAGGCACAGTGAAAACTTGCATGCTTTGACTGGACGTTGTCCATAGTGGACAGGTTTTGGGGTTGGGGTGGTAAACATCACTGGCATTTAGAGAGGCAGATTTTGTGCCTGGTTGCAGTTGATCTCTGCATGAAGCTGGGTCACACGATTGCTCAGGGAAAGGATTCTCTCCCAAGTTATTCTCTTCACATTCTGCCCTCCAAATGCACATTGCTGCATTGTTTCCTTTGATAATAAATGCAACGCATAGTTTAGTGTCAGGAAAAAATGTAGATGATAGAGAAACATTGTGTGAAAATCGCCTATGAGCCAACTAATAAAAATCACCATTATGGAAATGTTCTTTTTTCTTCCGGGCTTCTGGTTGTACCCGCACCCCATAGATTTTGCATCTGACTCTTATCTACAATTGAATCACCTACTTTTCACTTAATGGTACTTTGTGACCATTTTTCTATACAGTGCGTATGAATCTACTTCATAATTTTAAAAGATGTTATTGGCACCATCAAGTTGATTTTGACACATGGCAACCCCATGTGACTGAGTGGAACTGCCCAGAAGTTTTCTAGCCTGTAATCTTCATGAAGCAGAGCCCTGAAGATAAAGTGGTTATGTGCTGGGCTACTAACTGCAGTATCATTGAACTGCAAGGTCAGCAGTTCAAAACCTCCAGCCACTCCTCAGGAGAAAGCTGAGGTCTTCTACTCCAATAGAGAATTTGTCTTAGAAACCCACAGGCACAGTTCTACACGACCTGTAGGGTCACTATGAGTCAGAATTGACTCAGTGGCAGTGGATTTGAGGTTTTTGTTTAAATTTTTATGAGACAAGAGCGCAACCAGGTCTTTCTCCCAGAGCCACTGGGTGGGTTCAAACCACCAACTTTCAGCTAGCAGCGGAGCGCCACCAAGGCACCTTAAAAGGTGATCCACAGTGAGTTTATATTATTACATCATGAATGATATTCACTCTCCAGTGTTTCGTTCTATGGGAGAGTTTAAATTTTGCACAGATAGGAATAGGCTCATACCTTGCTCCTGTTTTACCTTTTGTAGAAACAGAAAGAAACCACAAGTTGGGGGAAACTATCTTTAAAAATATATATATTAGTTTTTAAAAAAATAAGTCCTGAGGCTCTCCCAATCCTCAGTGTACACAAGTGGTCCTCCCTGCCCCTTGAAGGAGTTGGCTCTGAGTCAGTACCCTCTCTCCCGGCAGTCATTTGGAACCATTCCTGACATCCTGGCTCTGACTGGCAGAATCATCCCCATCTGCTCAGTCAAGAATGAACGCTTCTGAAGACAAAGCGGGTGAATAAGCAAATGTGGTGAAGAAAGCTGATGGTGCCCGGCTATCAAAGGATATAGCGTCTGGGGTCTTAAAAGCTTGAAGGTAAACAAGCGGCCATCTAGCTCAGAAGCAACAAAGCCCACATGGAACAACATGTCAACCTGTGTGATCACGAGGTGTTGAACGGATCACTGAAGACAAATGGGTGCATAAGCAAATGTGGCGAAGAAAGCTGATGGTGCCCGGTTAACAAAAGTATAGCATCTGGGGTCTTAAAGGCTTGAAGGTAATCAAGCGGCCATCAAGCTCAGAAGCAACAAAGCCCACATGGAAGAAGCACACCAGCCTATGCAACCACGAGGTGTCGAAGGGATCAAGTATAAGGCATCATCAGAACAAAAAATCTTACCATAGTGAATGATGGGGGGAGTGCGCAGTGGAGATCCAAAGCCCATTAGTAGGCCACTGGAGATCCCCTTGCAGAGGGGTTGCGGGGAGGAGACGAGCCAGTTAGGGTGCGATGTAACAACAATGAGAAATACAACTTTCCTCTAGTTCCTAAATGTTTCGTCCCCGCTCCCACTACCATGACTCGAATTCGATCTTGCAAGTCTGGCTAGACCAGAGGATGTACACTGGTACAGATAGGAACTGAAAATACAGGGAATCCAGGACGGATGAGCCCTATAGGACCAGTGGTGTGAGTGGCAAAACAGGGAGGGTAAAGGGGAATGGGTAGGAAAGAGGGAACTGATTACATGGAACTGTGTGTGACCTCCTCCCTGGGGGACAGACAACCGAAAAGTGGGTGAAGGGAGACGTCGGACAGGGCAAGATATGACAAAATGCCCATTTATAAACTATCAAGGGCTCATGAGGGAGGGGGGAGCGGGGAGGGGGGAAAAATGACCTAATGTCGGGGGTTTAAGTGGAGAGAAAATGTTTTGAGAAACGATGTACAAATGCGCTTTACAAAATTGATGTATGGATGGATTGGGATAACAGTTGTATGAGCCCCTAATAATAAAATGTTAAAAAAAAGAATGAACTCTTCAAGTCAAATTTTGGTTTGAGATCTTGGAGAAAGCTCAGTCCAGTGAAGGTATTAGAGAAGTATTTTTAAAAGGCGGCTTGAGAAATGCCAGTTAGGGACAAAGACAAATAAACCCCCACAGCTGTCTACCTTGAACTGCCCCCACGTGCTGAAGTGTGAATGCTCTCGGCAGTGGGGAGACCAGTTGTTACCGAGTGTACTCCAACCCAAGGTCACCTTACGTAGCTCAGAGTTGATCTCCTTACAGAAAGTTTTCAACGGGTCCTCTGGGTGGACTTGAACTACCAACCCTGCCATCCAAGCTAAGCACCTAACTATTTGCACCACCGGGGACGGGGCCCTAGTAATGGGGAGCTTGTGTTTTCCCCAGTCTCCAGTGGACTGCAGTTGCAACGCCTCCAGAGCAAATGTTCCTGAGTAGGAAACTGGTTCAGAAATTCAACCTTAAAGCACTCTAGACCTACATGTGAAAGCTAGGAAGCAGCACAGGCACCACTGACTGGAGAGACTACAATTTTCCTGCGAGGAAAAGAAATGAAACATTTAAAGTGAAGGCTGGAAGCTGAAATGTGACCACCATGATTAGAGCATAAAAGATCTGAAGGAAGAGGGATGAGCAAGAGGGGAAGGAAGCTGTGCCAAGTGCAAGCTGGGAGACTGAGCGGAGCCTGGAAATGCACCTTCTCTCTAGGTACATTTCTCCCCTTTCATCCAACAACAAATGAGCACAGAATTCCTCTGTAACTCTCCCTTCCATGGGTCGTCGTAACACCTGCCCGAGCTTTCTGTCTGACCTATACTCTCAGCCCCTAACAATTTTACCACCTGAGGGCCATGGTATAAAGTGAATTGGGGCCTTCTCTATTGACTGTTGGCCTCAGTGATCCAAGCTTTCTAAGAGTCGATCACCCACACTTCAGAGTCTTATCCTGGAAGCTAGTGAGATCCACAGCTACCTCCCACTTTTACAAGGCCAGTCAGAGGCGGCAGAACAAGACAAAGTAGCTCTAACAAGAGACCGGAAAAGAGATGATTCCACCAACACAGAAAAGTCACACACAAAAATTCTGGTCCCCAATAATATGATCTTTGAAAACAAAAACACTCAAATAAAAAAAAAATTTATCCTGGTGACCTTTATCCGGATATTCTCCTGCTTGAAACAAGTGGTGGTGTTTAACGATGGCTCCCTCCAAACAAGGCAGCATTCTGTGTGTTTCTGCGATGAGAACTCTGTACGGGCTGTTATTTGTTAGCTTCCACTGCTGAACCATCTCTGCCAGTCAGACTCAGAAAGCCAACCTGCAGGCTCAATGCCAAAACGCCAGAAGCCAAAGCTCAATCAAGCGCTGCTCTCACCTCTTAGTCAATCAATCACAGGACAGAGGAAAGCAAAACAAACCAACAAGCAAAAGACCCCTGGCTGGGGAGAGCTGCTCACCAGCTTACGGCTCATTTCTGCTCCTTCTATCACCAAGAAAGGTAGAAAGAAGGTCACCTAAGGAAACCATCTCAGGCCTTAGGGCTCAGGTTCTGTTTCTGTTCTATTCCATTCCAGCTGAGCCTGTTCGTACCAGGGGAGTTGAGAGAATTACAGACACTGAGGTAGGGCTAAAACATGTAAACTACAGGGAGGATCCTCGTCCCTAGGTTGCCCGAAGCCCTTTAATAAAAATCTCTTGTAATCCTATAATTGCACACATCAGTGCAGACATTTTAATACACACTTTGAAGTATGAGTTCTGATTTCTCTCCCCTGAGGCTGGGAGGCTTCCCCATTAGTCATGTGCAGCTGAGAAAGTATCATTTGACCATGTGTGCAATAAGGGCTTGCCCTGACAAACCAGATTGTCCTCATTACTGGCACAGCCCAGCCTGCTGGTGCTAGGACAGGGCATTGGGGAGCTGACACCTGTGGGAGCCAGAACTTAGTAGGTTTGGGTCTCAGGTAAAAAAAAGTTTAAAAGACATGTTTTGGCAACAGTGGCTGTCATGGTTTGTAATTCTATAACCAAGTTGATTCCAACTCAGATTCTATAGGACAAGTTAGAACTACTGCCCAGTGGGTTTCCAAGGCTGTAATCTTTTTTTTTTCTTTTCCCCAAGGCTGTAATCTTTATGGAAGAAGAAAGCCTCATCTTTCTCCCTCGGAGTGGCTGGTGGGTTTGAACTTCTGGCCTTTTGGTTAGCAACCAATGTGTAACCCACTTTGCCATCATAATCACAAATATCGATGTAAAACCCAAACCTGAAGGAGGTTCCCAGAGGCCAAGGGTAACCTCACCAGGCTCCAGGCATACCTGAGAAGTGTGGAAGCCGCATACCGGGGTGGAAACGAAACTACTAGGAACCAAAAGGTAAAGTTGGCATGATGTTTTGCTTCACCAGCTAAGACCACCCCTTGAAGGTCAAGGGTCCAATTGCCTACGAAATGGCTCACCTCTCCCAGTGCACAGGTATCTGCATTTGTGGCAATCCAGGAGTCCCTCGGCCTCTGATTGGTAGAATTCCACTTCCTCTAGACCAGACCTGGGAATGGATGGCACGTATCTCCCTGCAGCGAGTTCACTGTAAACAAAACACACAGGCGTGGTGGGCGATGGTTGTGGTTGTTGCCAGTCCATTCTGAGTCTAAGTATCAGAATAGACCTGTTCTTTGCGTAGGGGTTTCAAGGCTGCAATCTTTACAAATGCATTCTGCCACATCTTCCTCCTGCAGAGCAGCTGGTGGGCCCCAATCCCGGACTTTGGGGTTTGAAAGTAAGCACTGAACACCTGAGCCATCAGGGCTCCCATGCATGCCACCCACTGCTGCCATAGAGTGAATTCTGACTCCTTTTGACCCTACAGGGCAGAGTGGAACGGCCGCGGTGTGTTTCCAATACTGTAACTCTTTATGGGAGTAAAAAACCTCATCTTTCTCCCTTGGAGCAGCTATTGGTTTTAAACTGCTGACCTTGCAGTCCCCTACACCACACTGTCAACACTTGAACGTAGTCCCCCTCTCAGCCCAACAATTAGATGGAGAAAAGACAGAAATGCATTGCCTTTTGGTTCAGAACACTAACTGGCTGTGAACAAAAGTAACCCCTCAACTTGCTTTTGGGGAATGGGGGAAGAGAGCTTTAGGGGCTGGGTCTCCAGTTTTATGAGGAAAAGTTGTCCATTCTTCCAGGTCACATCGCTGCAACACAAAGTGGCTACAGTTGGGAAACAAGAGCTAGTGTGTGTGACTCTCGGGGCACACCCTTTGTCATTGTAGTTGGTTTCAGATAACGTAACATAAACTCAGGATAGCAGCTTCCCAGCTGTGTGCACACAACCCTGGAGTCGACCAGCAGAATGGAGCCTAATACCTCCTTAAAGACAAGTGTCAACGCACCCAAGTCGGGCATCAGCCCTGGACCTGTTTTTCTCTGTCTTGCTCTGTAAACTCGGAGCTGGCAGGGGGAATAGCATTCAGTAAGGTTTGTGGGACTTGATGGAATGTTAGATGGAAAGGTGATCAAGGTGGGGGGAGGCAGGGCACCTCTTCCTCCCAGACCTTCTCTTGGCTCACAAAGTCTTCCACCGAGTGGTGCTCCAGGGGCAATCGCGTGAGCAAGTGGGGTGCAAGGCGGGAATTTTAACCCCACCTACCTAATCTCCTTCCCACCCCTTTCCTTCCCTATTGCGGACACCTCCTTCCTCTTTACCTGACCACCCCACTCCACCGCCGACCCTGCCACTGCTAAACAAGGGTGTTGCTCTTGGCTTCGACTCAAGAAGGAACACCGTGCAGTCACCTGTAAGGGCAAAGGGACTTTAAACTGACTTCCTTCAGGGACGATGGCCTTTGGCACGGGCTTCTTTGGCCCGGCTGCAAAGCAGGCACTTGCACGCCCACGCCCCTCCAGGTGCGCTCACCGGTCGGGTCCCGGCGCCCCACTCACCTGTCTGGCCCCCGGTGCGCGAAGCCCTGCTTCCTGCCGGCTGGCGGCCCCGGGGTTTCCCAGGGCGAGGCCCAGGGGGGCGGGGCCGCGTCCCAATTCGGCTCCTGGGGTTCAGCCCGCGTCCGGCTCGGGCGGGAC